CCAAATTCGTGGCATAACCAAACTTCCCACAGTCTGGTAAATGAAAAAGTGAGTCAGCCAGCAAATACAACGTTGGAGAAATTTCCATGAAGATCATTTGGCATTGTTCCCCAGAGTTCGAGACTTAAAGGTCAATTAGATTCCACATGCAGCAACCCCCACCCCCCACAAGTCCTAGTCTCTACAGAAACATGCCTTTAACAGCAGCCATGGCAAAATATTCACTGCACTCCAACATACTGTCTTTCTCCATTATTAGTCTGCTGCGTATCAATATTTATTAAACATGCTAGGTTCTGTAAAGGTTACAAATGGAATAAATGACAGGGCACTTGCCTGGTCTCAGGATCTGGGCTCTGTGGTGACTTAGAGAGAATAAACTATTACGGGAAGAAAGTGGCGTTTGGCCTGAGCAGATGTACCTAAGGGTACCGGAAGCTCCATGCCCTCTCATGTCTTGTACCACCCACTCAAGGATCCTGGTAAGACAGGATCACACAGGCAGGGGGTAACAAGATGATATGCAAGAGCTTCGTTTTAAATCAGTTAAGTTGGCAACTTTTTTCATTTAAAGGGCTCTGAAGAAAGTGATAACAGGGCCTCCCGGGTGACGCAAGGGTTAAATCTCAGCAAAATGAAGCTATCCACAGACACTGCAATGCAAGTTCGTTCCCCAGCCAGGGATATGACCCACATATGGTGCAACAGAACTCTCTGTCTCACCGCTGCTCCGCTCTGCGGTGTATTTCAGTAGACCTCCAGACTGAGCTTGGACCGACCTGCTAGTCCACACCCTCAGCCTCCATCCTGAGCTGGTTCCAGCCCTCTGATCCACACGCTAAACCTCCAGTGGAGCGGGGGCCTGTTATCACTTTCTTCAGAGCCCTTTAAATGAGGCTGAGCTGGAACATGCCTGATTGACCACTTCAGCCTCCAGGCTGAGCTGGGGCTCACCTGGCTCTAAACCCCCTCAGCCTCCAGGTGGGGCTGGGGCCGGCCTGCAGCTCCACACCCTGAACCTCCAGGCTGAGTTAGCGCCAGACTGCTGGTCCACCCCGAGGCGAGCTGGGGCTGGCCTGACACTCAACCCCTTCACCCTGCAGGCTTAGAAGGACAGGTCCTTCTGATCTATCCCTCAGCCTCCAGGCAGAGCTGGGGCCAGCCTGCAGCTCGAAGCCCTCAGCCTCCAGGATGAGAAAGGGCCAGCCCAATGCTCGACACCCTCAGCCTCAAGGCTAAGCTTGGGGCATCCCACAGCTCGACCCCTTCAACCTCCAGGCTGAGCTAGAGCTGGCCTGCCACTCACCACACTCAGGCTCCAGGCTCAGCTGTGGCCAGCCAACTGCTCGACCCCCTCAACATGCAGGCTGAGGTGGGGATGGCCAGCCACCCGAACCGCTCAGGCTCTGGGTTATTTGGGGCCGGCCTGTTGGTTGACCCCTCAGCCTGATGGTCCTGTGGCTGACATGCTGGTAAAACCTCAGATTCCAGACTTAGTTGGGGCAGATAGGCCACTCAACCACCTCAGCCTGCAGGCTGAGATGGGACCACCTTGCTACCTGAACCCCTCAGTCTCCAGCCTGAGCTGGGTCTGGCCTGCCACTAGGCCCTCTCTTACTCAAGGCTGAGGTGTGGCAGGTTGCAGTTTGACCCCTCAGCCTCCCAAAGAGATGGGGCCTGCATGGTGCTATATCACCACAGCCTCCAGGCTGAGCTGGGGACAGCCTGCCACTCAACCTCCTCAGCCTACAGGACAGGGTGGGGCTGGCCTGCAGGTCAACCCCCTCTGCCTATAGGCCTGGCTGGGGTGGGCCAACAGGTTGACCCCCTCAGCGTCCAGGTAGGCTGGGGTCGGAAGACAGGTCAGCCCCCACAGCCTCCAGGCCGGGCTGGGACCCGCATGCAGGTCAACCCCCTCAACATCCAGGCCAGGCAGGGGCATCCTACAGGTCAACCACCTCAGCATGCAGGCCAGGCAGGGGCCGTCCTGTTGGTCAACACCCTCAGCATCCAGGACAGGCTGGACCGGCCCTCAGGTTGACCTCCTCAGCCTCCAAACCGGGTTAGGGGCCGTCCTTCAGGTCGACCCCATCAGCCTCCAGGCAGGACTGGGGCCAGCCTGCAAGTCGACACCCTTGCCCCCAGCCCCACCTGGAGGCTGAGGGGGTCGACATGCATGCCGGCCCCAGCACGACCTGGAGGCAGAGGGTGTCGACCTCCAGGCCGGCCTCAGCCCAGCCTGGAGGCTAAGGTGGTCAACCTGTAGTCCAAACCGAGCTCAGCCTGGAGGCTGAGGGGGTTGATCTGAAAGCAGGTCCCAGCCCGGCCTTGAGGCTGAGGGTTTGACATTCTGGGCAATGTCAGCCTGCAGGTCAACCCCATCATCATCCAGGGCGGGCTGGGCCCAGCCTGCAGGTTGACCCCCAAAGCCTTCAGGCTGGTCTAGGGCCGGACTACAGGTCAACCCCCGAAGCCTAAAGGCCTTGCAGGGTCGGCCTGCATGTCAACCTCATCAGCCTCCAGGCCAGGTTGGGATCCGACTACAGGTCAACCCCTTCAGCCTCCAGGTTGTGCTTGGGCCATCCTACAGGTCAACCCCCTCAAACTCCAGGCGGGGCTGGGCCCAGCCTGCTGGTTAAACCCTTCAGCCTCCAGATGGGCCTGGGGCCGTCCTGCAGGCCGACCCCCTCAGCCTCCAGGCCTGGCTGAGTTGGCCTGCAGGTCAACCCCCTCAGCCTCCAGGGGCTGGCCAGTAGGTCGACCCCCTTCAGGTCAATCCCCTCAGTTGCCATGTGGGGCTGGGGCCAGCCTGCCGGTGGACCCCCTCATCCTCCAGGCAGGGCTGGGGCCAACCAGCAGGTCGACCCTCTCAGCCTCAAGGCTGGGGCGGGCCAGCCTGCAGGTCAACTCCCTCAGCTGCCAGGCCAGGCTGGGGCCGGACTACAGTTCGACCCCCTCAGCCTCCAGGCTGGGCTGAGTCAGCCTGCAGGTTGAACCCCTGAGCCCTCTCTGGGTTGGGGCCGGCCTGCATGTTGACCCCCTGAGCCTCCAGGCTGGGCTGGTGTCGGACTACAGGTTGACTCCCTCAGCCTCCAGGCCAGGCTGAGCCGGCCTGCAGGTTGAACTGCTCAATCTCCAGGGCGTGCTGGGGCTGGCCAGTAGGTGGACCCCTTCAGCCTGTAGTCCAGGCCAGGCTGAACTACAGGTCAACCCCCTCAGGTTCCAGGGAGGGCTGGGGCTGGTCTGTATCGACCCCTTCAGCCTCCAGGCTGAGGTAGGGCTGGCCTGCTTCGATCCCCACACACACTCCAGGCTGAGAAGGGCCTTGATTTATGGTTGATCCCTAAGCCTCTATGCTGTGCTGGGGCAGGCTGGCTGGTTGACCCCTCATCCTCAAGGTTCAGCTTGGGGCGGCCTGCTGGTCCACCGGTTAACCTCCATTCCTACCTGTGCACAGCCTGTTGGTCCAGCCCTCAGATTCCAACCCAGTTGGGACTGGCCTGCCACTCGACCCCCCCTGCCTCCAGGCTTAGAAGGGCCTTGCTTTCTGGTCAACACCTAAACCTCTATGCTGTCTGGGGCCAGACTGCTGGTTGACCCCTCAGCCTCCAGGCTAAGCTGGGGCTGGCCTGCCGCTTGACCCCCTCAGCCTCCACCCTGAGCTTCTCCAGCCCTCCTCTCAACACCCTCAGTCTCCAGGCCAAGGTGTGGACTGCCTACCCCTCAACCCCTTCAGTCTCTGCTTGAGCTGGGGCCAGCCTGTCGCTCAACCCCTCTACCTGCAGGCTGAGCTGCGGCCAGCCTGCCATTCAACTCCCTACCCTCCAGGCTGATCTGGGGCAGGCCTTCCGCTCGTACCCCTCAGCCTCCATACTAAGCTGGAGCTGGCCTGCCACTCAACCCTCTCAGCTCCAGGCTGAGCTAGGACTGGCCACCCACTCGACCCCCTCAGCCTCCATGTAGAGCTCAGGCTGCTCTGCTGGTGTTCCCTCATCAGTCTCCACCCTGAGCTGTATCCGGCCCTCAGATCAACCCCTTCAGCCTCCAGGCTGAGCTGTGGCCAGCCTACCTCTACACCCCCTCAGTAGACCTGCCTATTCTGCTCCCTAATCTATCTCTGAATTCCTTTGCCCCTGCACCTCTGGCCTGCACCCCAGCTCTTTAATGGATGAATAAATAAATCTTAAAAAAAAAAAAAAAGGAAAGTGATAGCAATATTCGTAGATTTTTGAAATTTTAGCTCTACTCCAAAGAAAATAGACAGCTTCACTTTAGGAACACAGTCCTAGAAGAGATGCTTTTTTGTTGTTTTTCAGGAACCTCCAAGCAGTGGTGATAATGAATATATTGATTATCAGTAAGTTATGAACAGCATGCACAAAACAGACATGGATGGGCCCCGACCAATCAGAATGGATATTGTATAATCACCAACCAATCAGAACAGATAGGGTGTTGATACCAACCAATCAGAATGGATACCACAGTCTCAGGTTGTCCCCGCAAATTCCCCTCCAGTTAGCTGAGTCATAGAATGTGGATTCAGGGTAGAAGCTGAAGGTGGTTTAAGATCATACAAATATTTTATAAATTGCTGCATTATTAGATCAGCAAGCAGGAGTTTTAAGTGATGAAAACATAATGATGAATTTGAGTCTGCCACTTGGTGACTGTGAGGAATTCACTAAAATCTTAACCATTTTAAGTCAAATTCTGGCAAAGGCACAGTTGGGCATGGTTTCTACCATTGTAGAAATCTACCAAACAATGCAGAGCTCGGTCAAGTAACGATCTTGCCTCCTGTTAGATGAAGAGATGCGGTGGGCAGTGAAAGGCACTGAGATTGTGTAGATGAAAAGCAAACAAAAAAAAATGTGGAAAAGGCAGCAATTTCAGTTAATAAGCACATTCATGTGAACTCGTAGTGGGGCGAGAGTCTTCAAACCACCACCTGAATAGTCAAGAGTAAAGAAAAGCACTACAAGTTCTTCAGGGTTTTCTCTCTTATTTATTAAAAAAAATATATTACCCATTTCCTGTTTTTTCATGGCATCTGAGGTTCGTGAGGTCTGTGCCCCACAAACCATAACCCTCACCTAATGCATCTGAGGCCCGAAGGGGGCATGTAAAAATGAATGTCTTCATGTAAATGTCCAATGATGTGCAACATGCACATCAGCTTTAGAATTTATTTTAACTTTTAAATAGTTTAATTTCATTTAATCTATGAGTTCTGCTTTTCCAGACAATTTTAGATTTCCAGTTGATCCTAATTGGTGTTCTCTTTTTTTGCTGATAATGTGCAATCATGTCCCACATGGTCAACATCCATAAATACCATCTTCACGTGATGGAAGATAATAAGAGCATTTCAGCGTGGGGTAAGAAATGGACTGAGACACCGCTGCTGGGATCAGCAGCAGGTGAGAAACCCCACACAGGAGCTCCCAGCTTTTACTCAGTAATGTTGTAGAATTCATGGAAATCCTGAGATGTTTTAAAAATCAAATCCTACTTGGGAAGCTGGGAAAACGGACTTCTTCTCTGCTATGAAATATCTGTCCAGATGTTTCCAGCACCACCTCCTCCAGGAACGCGGCCAGGCCGGGCCTCAGGTAGCAGGGAGTGATGACATCCTGGAGATGCGGGTCATCGGCCAGGGAAGGGACCCGAGGGACGTCTTCACTACACTAACGTCACATTCCTGACCCTCCTAGGACTGGCCATAAAAAAGGTCACATGTGGCCGATGTGCTGGTGGCTGGTGATCATCTGGTCCCTGCCGACAAAGGGAAAAGGGTGGTTGAACCAGGGGAGGAGGGCCTGTGAGCAGATTCGAAGGAAGCTCCACTCATCAGGGAAGCTCGAGGGAGGGCAGAGGGAAGAAGGAGGAGTGCCAACAGGTGCCCTCTGTGTCTCCTTATCCAGCACTCTGCACTGTAGATGCCCACGTCAGGGCCCACAGAGCAACCCAGCCCCAGGGCCCAAGTCAGGCTGGCACAGAGGCCACGGGCTGCTGCGTGTCCTTGTTTTCCATTCTCTCATGGAAATGCTAGCTTTCACCTGAAATATATAAAAGGTCTCTAACCTTCTTCAAAGAACACATTCCTTCTAGCGGAGAAGGGCAAACCGAGTCCACACGGGCCGGCCAGTGCCTGCGCGGGAGTGTCCTGCTGGGATACACGGGCCGGCCTTCCTGCCGTACAAGAGCGCCAGCCGGGCTCCCACGGCCTGTGGCTGCATTTCACATCTAAATAATGTAGCCCCACGCCATGAATGATTTACACACAATGGGACGTTGGAACCCTCAGAACAGACTCTGCAGGCTCCTGGTGCCCCTTCAGCGGCCCCCACAGCACAGGAAAACTCGCCCATGGCAGTGCGGGCTCCGGCCCTCTGGGCCCAAGCAAAACACCAAAGGAGAAAAAGTGTTTGTAGGCTGGTGCAGCAGGAATGGGGTTCCCAAGCCCTTCTTACAGTATTGCAATTCCAGTGTCCCCAGATGGATCCAGACAGAGCCAAAGCCTTGAAACCTGACTGCAGAGCTGAGGCTCCCCCAGCTGGAGGCTCCCGGGGGAGCAGAGGGGCAAAGAGGGGAGCAATGGATTGTGGAGCAAGATTACTGGGGCTTTGGGGGGGGTGTGTGTGACGACGTGCATTCAGAGTGGTGTGAACCTGCGCCCTAAGGCACAGGCAGAGCTGACAGCCAGTGTGACCTTCACAGAATGATACAACTTTGTAAAAATTAAATTTCCTCCAAACCTGATTACAGTCAGATTTAAGTACATAACTGAAACGTACATCTCACTCATTTAAAAAATGTTAAAATTCCAGTTTTCTGTTTTAGTAACCGTCGAGTGGGGGGTGTCATTCAAATCATGCTTGGAGATGCAGGAGGAAGATGGGATGTGGAGAGACTCTCCACGGCCCAGAGACTGGGCGCTGATGTGCAGAACCCAGGTGGTGCTGAAGGCAAGGACGAGAGTAACCGGATGTGACCTGGGTCACGTCTTCTGCCTGCAGGTGGCAGATACAGGTACCACCCATGCCCTCCCCACAAGCATAGCAGGCACAGGTCACCAAGAATATCACATAGGCGCTGGGCGCCAGGGGAGCAGAGCTGAAAGGAAGTCCTGGGACCTAGGTCCATGGGAATACATAGAAAATTAGACCTGCAGCTCACCACCACACTGCCTCCGGCCACATGTGTCCCAAATTAAGCCATCCTCCCAGACAAGTGCACAAGGCAGGGATGGGGACCCAGCCTTGGCCTTAGAGCCGCCACTAACCAGGGCATGAGACGCTGGGGGCCGGGCCCCATCACTCCAGCTGACAGAGCTGAGCCAAAGCAGCACTACTCCATCAGGACCAAGCAACACGCACCAGCTAATAGTCAGCTATTAAGAAGCAAGAGCTTATAAATGGTCCACAAAAGCGGGGGAGAAAGCTAGTCACCTGGCGAGGCTGTCTGCTGTCGCGTTGTTCTGGAGCACCAGATGCAGGGGACTTCGAAGGGAGGTAAGTGATGGCTGCAACAGAGAACAATTTCAGAAAAGTGGCCAAATCCAAGCAAACATTCAACAATCCGATTTATAAGGCTTTGCTTTCTTTTATGTAGCTTCTCTGCAGCTGAATAATCCTTCACCACAAAGGGACTTTTTAAAGTTCCCTTGAGGTTACAGACTTTATTTTTCTAATGAAATAAAAACACAGCAAACTAACACAGATTCAATTCCTTTCTTGACATGTTAGTCTCATCCAGAGACAAGATGAACCCCTAGCTTTCATGGCTGGCCAAGAATAATATATACAAGGCAAGGGTCTGGGGCAAGATGTTGATAATTGCTCAAAACGCTAATGAATTAATAATGAGTAAATATTCACTAAGGGCAACTTTTGCCAGAACCTGTGGTCAGATTATCAAAGGTCATAGTCGATGCTCTGGAGGATATTTTTATACCTGAAGCATACAACTTGTGATGCCAGTAGATGCCAGCACAGAATGGGAAAAACAGAGCTACTGAGAGTAGCAGCCCAATTATAGTGGAAATAAAATGGTTTTCAGACCTCTCAACAAGAATCAATTAACTAAAAATCCTTGCATGGAATTTTTGTGGCCGGGTAACTGGTCAGGACCAGTCCCCATCTCTGACTGCTAAGAAGCCATCTGTGCACCTTTCCTTCTCATCTACCTTCTCCTACCATGGAGGAACCAGATTCAAATTCTGCCCCTCTGCTCATTAGTCACTGGAGACGGGAGGCGACCTTCAGAGATGCCCAGGGGTGAGTGCATCACTAAAGGGGGAACATTTAGGCACTACAAGGCTTGCAACAAGGCTTGCAACAGGGTTCTCAGCACCCTGCAGTGTGGAGAGAGAGGAAAAGATTCCTTCCTGCCTTCCTGAGTTTCTGTTTTAATTGAGGTAAGGAAGCTGCCCTCCATGGGTGAAAAACCTTTAAAGAAAGCATGAAAAATAAAAAATAAAAAAATCGGTAAGCTTGAAACATGAAAATTATTTTTAAGACTCCTCAACGGTCACCTCATTGGACTCTAAACTGGAGACAAATTGGCAGATGCTCACTGTTAATCTACTCCTATATTTCTAGCCCAGAATCTCTCCCTCTTATGAAAAGCATGCAAACAAAGCCTCCCGCCCTTGGTTGGGTCATCTGTCCTCACGCCGCCCTGTGCCCGCCTGTCCACTCACTTGTGGGCCTCAGCTCCTCTGCCTGGTAGCCATAGTTTTCATTTCCGTCCTTTGACTTCGTCTCAGAGGTCTCGCTCGTCTTCGGGTTTGCAGATTTCCTAGAAGGAGACCATTGTCAACAGCCAAATGTTAATGGACAGTGGAACATCCTACAGCCGCACTCTCCAGGAGGCCCAGGGAGGCTGCCGGCTGGGGAGTGGCGAGGTGGGGGGACCCTGTCCCCCAGGCCTGCAGACGGCCCAGGGCTCGCCCACTCCCTGATGGGCAGACCTGCAGCCTCACACGGCGGGTGTGTGATCTCCCCATCAGAAGTCAATCCTCAGGAAGCACCCACCAAATAAAGTGGGGTTCACAGACGGTGCCTGCCGGCCAGTCGGACCCACCACCTGCTCTTACAAACACAGTTTAATCAGAACGCAGGTCCACCTGGCTGCTCCCCTCACAGACGGCGGCGGGCAAGTCACAACGGCTGCACTGAGTCACTGAGATGAGCGTGTGGCTCATGGAGCCAAAAATATTTACACTCAAGCACTTGATTCAAAAAAGATGCCAACCTCTGAAACAAAGCAAAATTCATTGCCGCTTCCAGGGGAAGAGTCTGGCAATGGCTAGCCGAAGACCTCGATACATTCCTGCTTCACTCCTAAGCATTTCTATAGGGAAATAACCAAAGACTGGTGCAAAGATTTACTGGAAAGAACGTTCGTTCACTAATCACTGACGACAAGGGCCAAAACTGCACACACACACACACCCCCACCCCCGTGCCCAGCCACAGGAAGCGTGAACCAAGCGGTGATGGTCTCTCACCCGGAGCCCGCGCCGCCGAACAGCAGGCCAGGAGAACCAGCATGCTGCTGCTGGGGTGTGAACTGCAAGCCTGTGTGGAAGTCTGGGCGGCCGTGGGGTCTAAGGCTGGGCACAGACCTGCCCTGCGGCCCTCCCTGGACAGCAGCTGCACACCCACCAGGAATGAGGCGGGGAAGCGTGCCCGCGCAGCTGCCTCGAAGTGCTCGTCAGGACGCACGTGCGTGACAGCCACAGCCACCCCGCCCCGAAAACTCCCCGAACGCCAAAAGTGAGGTGGAAAGGGGGTGCACCCAGGCCCAGAGCACAGAAGGACCGGATCGCAGACCCCTGCATCTGCAGCCCCAGAGGGAAGCCGGAGAAGCCCCAGGAGAGTGCACAGGATGATGATGGACACGGAGTTCACATCCACCTAAGCCCGGAGCGTGAGGGCAGATGTTGGAAGAGGTGGCCTTTGCGGCAGTCTGGGCAACTGATGGGGCCTGCAAGCTTTGGGGGTGCTGGGGCGCTGGTTCTGCGAGGCCCAGGCACACTGGTGTGTGGCAGTTCATGGAGCCAGTCCCCCGCCCTTGGCTGTATTTATACTTCAATAAGACATTTTATCCAGCAAATAAAACAAAAATGGGGGAGGCAAGTATTTGTTAACAGAAATAGTTTCCAGAACGGTGCCGAGTGAGAAAGCGAGTTGTGGCACGTCTGTTCTGTGTGTGCGCGTGTCTGTGTGAACACACAAGCGTGTGGTGTGCACACCCTTGACAACAGCCGCGGCCCTGGCGACAGGATGAGGGTGATTTCCACGCCATTCCTTCTGCCCTGGTTTTACAGCAAAAGATTCTTTCACTGCAGACGCCTCCCAGGAGCCGGGGGCGGCACGGACACGGCGGGAGGGGCGCAGGGGGACAGCGGGCCCGGCGGGACCCCCTGACTCTCCTCCCGGCAGAGGGGCTGCGCGCAGGGTGCAGCCCGGCGACCCGGTTCCCATCCCGAGCTGCCCGCTGTCTGCACGGGGGAGACCGCGCGGCCCCTGAACCCCTCCTTGCTCCGCTCTCCTCGCCCCAACGCGCAAGAACCACGGCGAGGATTAAGCAGCGACCCCCCCCCCACCCCGAGGCAGAGCGGCCCCCCAGGACGCCGAGGTCCCGGGGGCGGCCGCGGGCTCGTGGCGCTGGGCCTCGGCGGGCGGACAGGCCGGGCCGGGAGCCACCGGGGAGGAAACGCCGGGACTTGGACTCGCAGGAGGACGGACTCGGATCAGCACCGAGAGCGTGTGGGGGCCGCGTCCACGCGCGCCCAGAAACCCGCGGCCAGCGCCACGGGACCTTGGCCGGCCGGGCCCAGCACAGCACCCTGAGGGTCCCCCCCTCCCCGGCCCTCCCCGCGGGAGCCCCCTCTGCGCGCCCCCTCCGGCTCTGGCTCCGCGCGCAGCCTGAGCTCGTCATCGGGGACCCCTCACCCCTCCGGGCGCCCCGGGCTCGGCCGCCGGGGCCCAGGGGTCAGGGAGACGCGGCCCGGGGAAGGCCCGCCCCGCCCGGGGCCCCGCGTGTTCGCGCCCCCCGCCCCCTCGGCCCCCTCGGTCCTCCTCCACCCCCCGACCCCCACCCCCACCCCGTGCCCCCGGAGGCCCCCTGCGGAGCGGGTCTCAAGGGGCCTCACCAGGCCCGGGACCTGGAGGCGCTTCTGCCAGAGCCGCCCCCGCCGGCCCCCGCAGGGCCCCCGCGCTGCACCCCGGCGCCAAGGCAGACCCCGCCCGGGGGGCTCAGGGGGTCTGGGGCGCGGCCTGGGGTGGCCTGGGGGACCGCCTGGGGGGCGGCCTGGGGGCGGCCTGGGGGGGCTGGAGACCCGCCTGGGGGGGCCTGGGGGCGGCCTGGGGGTGGCCTGGGGGGGCGACGTGGGGAACAGCCTGGGGGGCGGCCTGGGGGCGGCCTGGGGTTTCGAGGCCTTGCCAGGTCCCCTGGAAAGTGCCTGCGGCGACTGGCGGCCCCGGCAGGGACCCGGCCGCCTCCCGCAGGTGCCCGTCATGAGCCCCGCAGACAACCCGCGGAGGGTGCGCGCGGAGCCGCGTCTCGTCCCCGGCCACAGCCCCGAGTCCAGCGCCCGCGGCCCCTTCGCCCAGCAGGGCCCTCGGGCCGGCCCGGAGGACGGACGCGGTCGGGCAGCGCCCCCTGGCGGAAGGGGCTGCGCACGGCAGCCGCCGGCAGGACCTCCGGGCTCAGCCCCAGGGGTTCCCCCAGGTGGGCCCACCCCAGCGGGCCGCGGCCTGGGGGGGTGAGGGGTGGTGAGGGGTGGTGAGGGGTGGTGAGGGGTGGTGAGGGGTGGTGGGGTGTGAGGGGTGGTGAGGGTGGTGAGGGTGGTGAGGGGTGGTGAGGGGTGGTGAGGGGTGGTGGGGGTGGTGAGGGGGTGGTGAGGGGTGGTGAGGGGTGGTGAGGGGTGGTGAGGGGTGGTGAGGGGTGGTGAGGGGTGGTGAGGGGTGGTGAGGTGGTGAGGGTGTGAGGGAGGTGGTGAGGGTGGTGAGGGGTGTGAGGGGTGGTGGGGTGGTGGGGGTGGTGAGGGGTGGTGAGGGGTGGTGACGGGTGGTGAGGGGTGGTGAGGGGTGGTGAGGGGTGGTGGGGTGGTGAGGGTGGGTGAGGGGTGGTGAGGGGTGGTGGTGGTGAGAGGGTGGTGAGGGGTGGTGAGGGGTGGTGAGGGGTGGTGAGGGGTGGTGAGGGGTGGTGAGGGGTGGTGAGGAGTGGTGAGGAGTGGTGAGGGGGTGTGAGGGGTGGTGGGGTGGTGAGGGGTGGTGAGGGGGGTGAGGGTGGTGAGGGTGGTGAGGGGGTGTGGGTGGTGAGGGGGGGTTGGTGGAGGGATGGTGAGGGGTGGTGAGGGGTGGTGAGGGGTGTGTGAGGGGTGGTGAGGGTGGTGAGGAGCGATGAGGGGGGTGGTGAGGGGTGGTGGGGTGGTGAGGGGTGGTGAGGGTGGTGAGGGTGGTGAGGGGTGTGAGGGTGGTGAGGGGTGGTGAGGGGTGGTGAGGGGTGGTGGGGTGGTGAGGGGTGGTGAGGGTGTTGGTGAGGGGGTGGATGGGGTGGTGAGGGTGGTGAGGGGTGGTGAGGGTGGTGAGGGGGTGGTGAGGGGTGGTGAGGGGTGGTGAGGAGCGGTGAGGAGCGATGAGGGGGTGGTGGGGGTGGGGTGGGGTGGTGAGGGTGTGAGGGATGGTGTGAGGGTGGTGAGGGGTGGTGACGGGTGGTGAGGGGTGGTGAGGGGGTGGTGAGGGGTGGTGAGGGTGGTGAGGGGTGGTGGGGTGGTGAGGGTGGTGAGGGGGTGGTGGGGTGGTGAGGTGGTGGTGAGGGGTGGTGAGGGGTGGTGAGGGTGGTGAGGGGTGGTGGGGTGGTGAGGGGGTGGTGAGGGGTGGTGGGGGTGGTGAGGGGGTGGTGGGTGGTGAGGGGTGGTGAGGGGTGGTGAGGGGTGGTGAGGTGGTGGTGAGGGGTGGTGAGGGGTGGTGAGGGGTGGTGGGGTGGTGAGGGGTGGTGAGGGGGTGGTGAGGGGTGGTGAGGGGTGGTGAGGGGGTGGTAAGGGGTGGTGAGGGGCTGGTGAGGGTAGTGAGGGGGTGGTGAGGGTGGTAAGGGTGGTGAGGGGTGGTGAGGGGTGGTGAGGGGTGGTGAGGGGTGGTGACGGGTGGTGAGGGGTGGTGGGGTGGTGAGGGGTGGTGGGGTGGTGAGGGGTGGTGAGGGGTGGTGAGGGGTGGTGAGGGGGTGGTGAGAGGGTGGTGAGGGGTGGTGAGGGTGTGGTGGGTGGTGAGGGGTGGTGAGGGGTGGTGAGGAGCGGGGTGGGAGCGATGGGGGTGGTGAGGGTGGTGGGGTGGTGAGGGGGTGGTGAGGGGTGGTGAGGGTGGTGGAGGGGTGGTGAGGGTGGTGAGGGGTGGTGAGGGGGTGAGGGGGTGGTGAGGGTGGTGAGGGGTGATGAGGGTGGTGAGGGGTGGTGAGGGGTGGTGGGGGTGGTGAGGGGTGGTGAGGGGTGGTGAGGGGTGGTGAGGTGGTGGTGAAGGGTGGTAAGGGGTGGTGAGGGTGGTGAGGGTAGTGAGGGGGTGGTGAGGGTGGTAAGGGGTGGTGAGGGGATGTGAGGGTGGTGAGGGGTGGTGAGGGGTGGTGAGGGGTGGTGAGGGGGTGGTGAGGGGTGGTGAGGGTGGTGAGGGGGTGGTGGGGTGTTGGTGAGGGTGGTGAGGGGCTGGTGAGGGTAGTGAGGGGGTGGTGAGGGGTGGTAAGGGGTGGTGAGGGGTGGTGAGGGGTGGTGAGGGGGTGGTGAGGGGTGGTGAGGGGTGGTGAGGGGTGGTGAGGGGTGGTGGGGTGGTGAGGGGTGGTGAGGGGGTGGTGAGGGGTGGTGAGGTGGTGGTGAGGGGTGGTAAGGGGTGGTGAGGGGATGGTGAGGGGTGGTGAGGGGGTGGGTGTGCCTGGGGTGGGCATGGGTGGGGGTGTGAGCTGTGGGGTGTATGTGAGTGTGGCGGGCGTGTGCGAATGGGGGTGTGCGTGTAAGTGGGCGTGTGTGGGTGTGAATATGCGTGTGCGTGTGGGTGTGTCTCGTTGCTGTTGTTTGATTTTGTATTCAGAAAACTGATGGGCTTTCAGGCCTACCTTATTTCACTGTCATAGTTCGATTCTGAAAAAGAAAAACAATCGCATTAGCAAAAGCAGGATGATAATTCTGAAAATAAAATCTCGTCATTTTTATAGACTCCCTGATTTTAACACCCACACCACCGAATATCTGTGACCTTGTAGTTCATTCACTCTCAGCACTCAACGTGGTCTGTGCCAGCCTGCAGGGTGTTATCTCATTTAGTCGTTCAACATCCCAAGAGGTAGTAGCTGCTGTTATCATAATTTAAACAGACCAAACACTATGGTAGTACCATTACCATATCTTTAACAGGCAGGGAATTAAATGCATTTCCTTTCAATGTCGCTGAAAGCAAATGCACCTTTTGCAAGAGCTGAAGAACCGCAATTGCTTTTACAGAGTTCAAAAATATGAACCAGCCTCCACAAACCAAAATTACCTTTTTTTTCTTTCCTGGAGCCACGGCAGCAGCAGAATACGATAATCAGAACAATTAGCAGAATCAGAAGCAACGACAAGGACACAGCTATCAGGATGATGGCCCAGGTGGGCAGCGAGGCCCCCTGCCTCTGGATGCTGCCTGTACATGAAAGACGGGAAGACTGTCAGCGCTGCCCGCACCGACCGCTGATTCTCCACCTGCCAAGAATCTATGGGCCTTGGAGATGTCAGAGCCAAGTTCCCTCCACCACAGTTCAATATGCAGTCCATCTAGAATGTTCTATGACAACACTTATTGCTGCCAATAAATGCCTCCTTCATGATACAGTCCAAGGTTCCCTGATTACGACCTCTGACATTCCAGGAGGCAGATAAGACAGGGCTGTGACAACTCTCCGAGGTCACGGAAGTGATGGCCAGGCTCCCGCATCCCTTACTTAGTCAGGAAACACTTGGCGAGCAGTTATGCCTGCACAGGCTGGAAGAATGAAACTAGGTCTCGCTCCCACATCCCCACCCAGGGGAGTCCAGAGTCGGAAGGACATCCAGACAAACTGAGGAAACTCCCAGAATTTACAACAAGTCACTCCCACCCACCCCACCCACAAGAGTCATTTCCATTCCACTGGTTGATTTTTCTATGGCTCTTTGGGGCCACCTTCCCCCCCACCCCACTCTGCCCTATTGTCTGTCTGATCCAGGAGTCCTGGCGTGGGGGGCGAGGAGGACCCGGTGAGCAGGAAAGGAAGGAGAGGCGGGACGAGAGACGAAAAAGCCTTTGAGGCTTGACAGCCACATCTCAGCCAGGCTGCCCATGCCCAGCTTCATGTGCTTATCTAAAGCCACATTTAAATTAATTAAAATTATATACAATTAAGTACTGGGCGCCTCCGTCGCACTGGCTGTGTTTCAAGAGCTCAGTGTGCACAGATGCAGGATGTTGCCTTCGTGAGGAGCGTCCTTCGGAGGACGCCGCTCAGCCAATGCCTTATGAGGACATTCTAAAGAGAACCCCCTCCTACCTCTCACGTCCCCCTGCTGGGCACCAGCGAAGTCAAACCACAGACATTCAAGTTCATCTGTTTGAATGTGAACAGCTATTCAGTAAAGGCTGTCACTCAGCCCTGCGTGCTTGGCCAGTGTCGCGGCATAAATGCTGCTGTTCTATTAGAGGCCAGGCTTTAGAAAACACCAAAACAACAGACTTCCTATGAAAATGATAGGGTTTGCTTTTAACTCCAAGGCCTTCCAGCACTTTGGAACCAGAAGTTACAGTTAAAAAACAATTCTCACATGACCTTACTTAGTGGTGACCTTGAAAGTGACCTTGAAATCACAGTTTGCTGTTCCTGTGTGCAAGTTAAATGCACAGAATGAGTTCTTATACCCCCAGCACCAGACACACACTGCTCACCTTGGATGGCTGGGTGGGTGGATGGATGTATGGATGGACAGACAGACAGAGGCATGGATGGGGCATGGGTGTGAGGATGGATAGATGGATGGATACATGGACAGATTAAGAAACCGGGTTCCCTTCCGACTCTACATGGAGAAGAGAAAGCCACACACCAGGCAGTCGGCTGCTGAGCCAGGCCTGGGGCTACCTCTTCTCCCATGTCTAGGTGCCCAGACACGAAATGCAGAATTGTAGGAAAGTGAAAAGTACCTTCTTAATGTTCTCTCCACACCACCCACCACTTTTCTGAGATGTGCTGGAACTGCCAGAGGTAAGAAATGAGTTCCCCAGAGAAGGTGGAACAGGGAGGGGACAGGTTGACAGCCTTCCCCTACGGCCCCTCCCCAGCCCAAGAATGAGAGTTTAAAACAGTCAATCCCTTAACACCCAGCACGATAGGGCCTGCCCCCTGACTCCAGAGAGCAGATCCCACGCCCCGGGAATGCTGGCTGCACGCACAGATTCAGGGCCCACCTCGGGGGTCTGGAATGGCACCAGGGGATTCAAGGCTGGTGGTTAGTGACCCTCGCCCTTGGAAATCTCTGATGTGCAGCCGAAAAGGTACACACCACCGGAGCAATCTCCACATTCCAGGATGCTCCGCACTCTCCCTTTCATGGGTGTCAAGAAAATTCTGAAGCCAGCGCTGCATTTACCACAGTCACAAGCTGGAATTAAAACTCAAACCACTGGGGAGGCTTCAGGACTGACAAGGAGCCTTGGGCTCATGTGACTGACTAGAGCCAGCGAACTCCCCTGGCGGCGCTGACTGCTCCCTTTGGCCTCTGGCTCACCCATCAGCACCAGTTCTTGCCCCACCAGACCGATGGACACTCGGGAGATACCTGTGAACGTTCTGAGAACACGCTAAGGCAGAGCGAGCGCCATGTCTGAGGTTGTAAGGGTCAAGTTCAGTTCAGTCTGACGAACTTTTGACAAATTGAAGTTTGCAAGAATTAGAAGCTTTTCTAAGAAGAGAGCCTGGGGGCGGGGGGTGGGGGCGGGGGCCCTTAAACACTCAGGTCTGGCTCAAGATCGAAGAGACAGGCTCAACATTCCCACTGGGAAAAACCAACGTCCATGTTGATTCACTCCAGCTCTCCTGGGGGCCACTCTGTCCCTTGCTCGAGAGAGCCCTGTCAGGCCCAGCTGCAGCCGCCTCTCCTCTGGCCGAGCACAGAGCCGGCCGCCAGCTCCAGGGAGGGCCTGTTTAAAGAGAGAAGGGGCTCTTGCTGTGCCTGACAACGGACTCAGGAACAGGCAACACCGGGGTCTCCCCACTCTCTAGTCCCTTCATTCAGCCACACGTTCAGCAAACCGATGCCTGTGCTCCCCAAAAGCCCCAAACTCTCATCCAGAATCAACGGTGTCGGGAAGCCACATGGATCCTTCTTTAATCCCCACTGGCTGTGACCACGCTCCACGGGGCCAGGTCTTCCAGGGAGCTGCCCACGTAAGAGAGACCCCAGCTGCTGCCCCATGACTCCCCGGAGCCCAAAACAAGCATGTTGTCGGCACTGTGAGGGGGCGGGCTGGTCCCGGAGCTCCCTGGGAGGCCCCTTTGTGTTTTAACAAGATTTGCTTCGTCGTCCATTGCTGATACACCCCTGTGCATGCAAAGATGCTGTGGATATTTTTGTTTATTGTGAAATTAGTATTTTCAATGTGTAGACTTGCCATGAATGGAAAGAGAAATAAATTGGAATTGTATGTGGATGAATCAAAAATCAAAACAATGGACAGAAATCTCAGAATCTTGGGTCTGCGTCTCCACATCCTGCCAGATAAGTCACCCGGGACAGAGACTGGCCGGCTGGACGGGTCACCGACTTGGGTCTTTGCACTTGGCCAGCCTGTCTCCAGGTCGGGGTGCTCTTTCTGGGGCTGATCCTGCCTGGGCTTGAAGGGAGCTGGGAGTCTAGGGCGGACGCTGAGCCCTGGGTGTGCCGCAGTGAGGTTGTGGGGGAGTGATTCACGGTGGTTGGTGCTGAGTAAACTCTACCCGGGGAGCCCACCTCTGAGACTCAGGAAGCCCTTCTCCAAGTCCAGCACCACCCTCCCCCTCCTGTGCTCCCTCACGCACAGCCTGCACCCTACAGCTCAGTCTGCATTCACGGGCGCCCTCAACCTCAGCTTCCAGACTACCCGTCCCCCATCTGTGGAGACAAGCAAAGTCGTATTTCCCAGACCATCTCAAAGGAATGCTCAGGGTTTTAAAAGAGCACATAGAATCTCTCAAAACCAAGTGGACTGAGACAAAACGGTGCCCCCACTGCATGCAAAGCCTGCCTGGTGCTGCCTGGAGGGGGCACCGCAGATGTCTGGACCCAGGAAGCAAGTGATGACCCGCTCACTGGCCTGCCCAGAGCTCCCCAGCCAGGACTGTCCTGCACGCTACTGCCCACCCAGCAACAACCCTAAGAAGCTGGCACTGTTACAGATGAGACAACTGAGGCACAGAGGGTTAAGTAACTTGCCCAGAACTACTTCCTCACACCGGGCTGCCCTCGCAACTGCCACTTCTCACAAAACTGAGATTTAACCAGAAATCACTGTATCCTACAAGGTGTCATAAAAACATGGCTCCCTGTGTGTCTGCGTGCGTGCTGTCTGTTTCCTCTGGGATAGAGAAGGCCGGTGATTTTAAAAGCCATTAGCATGAACCCTTTTTTAAAAGCCATGCCCAGCTCCCTGGAGCCTGGTCAGGCGAGGCTTCGGTAATGAGGTTGTCATCCACTAAAACTTGCATAAAACACACACCAGGCAGCCAGCCACCAGCTGCTCTGGATCTTGATGAATAATTTAGAAGCAAATTACCCTTTTCCAAATGAGTCCGATACAGACTCACTGAAGGCCACTCCAGGCCGCTCCTGCCTGCCTCCCCGTGAGGCTGGGACCCCAGCACCATCCCCCTGGCTCTCACTTCACTGGTCCTCATCTAAGGCGCACTCAGCTCAACCAGACCTGAGCGGGGAATTAAGTGCCCCTGGCCTTTCCTCTACAAAGGGAAGCTCTGCAAGCAAGTGCTCTCTAACACTCATTCTGCTGGGGCGCTGATCATCAGCCCAGGGCTCTCAGTTGCTCTGCTACCTTGTTAAAAAGTGTGGTTTAAAAAGTCCATTTCATTCCGTTTGGTGCTAATGAGATTTTTTTTAATCTCCCTTCCAAAGCTTACACCTGGCTTTATCATATTTAAATAGTGTAAGAGCAAGCTGGGCGGGAAGTGACTGATTCCTGGCTGCATCAGGGATGTGCCAAGTGAGTCTGGAACATCTTGGGGAGACACCGGTTAGGTGCCGAACAGGTCCTAACAGGAGCCCAAGTTCTTGTTGGAGCTCTAACTCCTACTCCTCAGAATGGACCTTCTTTGGAAAGAGAGTCTTGTAGATGGAAATAGAGTATTGTAGATGGTCTTGCAGATGGAAATAGAGTATTGTAGATGCAATTTAGTTAAGATGTGGCCACACTGAATGGACAGGCCCCTAATCCAATAACTGGTGTCCTCATAAGAAGAACTTGGACATAGCCACGCACCCAGGAGTGTGCCGCGTGAGGGTGAGGACAGACACCAGGTGAAGCATCTGAGCCAGACAACCAAAGATGGCCGCCACACCACCAGAAGCTAGAGAGCAAGCACAGATTCCCCCTCCCCTGCTCAGAAGGGATCGACTCAGCCCCCACCTTGATCTCACATCTCCAGCCTCGAGAACCGTGAGAGAATAAACTCCCATTGCTGAAGCCACCTCTGTGTGGAATTTGGCGTTGCCAATTCAGGACACTCCTCCACCGTCTGGGGCCATCACACAGTGGAGGAACGCTTGACCCATGAGCAGATTCCGGGTCAAACATTAAGATGTTTCCCAGTTTACCCAGCAAATCTACAGGTATTTGTAAGCACCAAGTCCACATGATTTTTTCGTGATTAAATGACACAAGTTTAAAGATGCTGGGGCCACCTCCCACCGTTTGCTAGCTCCACAGACATCAAATTCCAAACCACACAGTGCCCCTGTCACTGCACCCGACCACGGACACAACTTCAGCTTCCACACATAGGGCTGTGGCGCACGGTATTCTGGTTAATATTTGAGAAGTTTCAAACCATGTCTTTGCGAGGACTCTGGAGTCCTACTTTATTACCAGCATCATCGCCATCATTAGCTTGCTTTGCTGGAGCTTTGCTCTGCACTGTGGAAGGCCTTCAGTAAATATGTTTTCATGGTGGGAAAAGCTTTGGACCAAGCCCCCAGGCCCTGCTGCTCCATTCATTAGGACCTAGACCCAATCGCAGCACATTTCTATCACCCCCCAGTTCCTTTTGTAAACTGAGCCCCCATCCCCACGTCTCCTCATTGGCTCAGGTGATTCAGCCCATCCAGGCTCTGTGTGCCCCCGTGGGCTCCTGTGGGGAACCTGCTGTAGGGTTTCTGGAACTTAAACTTTAAAGTTGGGTCATTTAATCATGAAAAATTACGTGGACTTGGTGTTTACAAATACCTGTAGATTTGCTGGGTACACTGTGAAGCATCCTAACTCCACTAAGATTGGAGCCATCTAAGAGGCCCTAAGAGAGAACCCTCCTCAGAAGGAGGCTCCAAACTGAAGCCCCTAGTATGGAGAGCTTCTCCATACTCCATACTGGCCCAGGGGGTGATCTCCAGCTGCAACTCAGTCAAGTTGGAAGAAAATGTCGAATCCAAGTATTTGTCCTTGAACTTGATAATAATTGATTGGTAATAATTGTCAAGATTCATCCATGAGTAGAGAACAGAGAAACACTTGAAGATAGAATTTTAAAAGCAAGTCAAAACTGCAGACTATGAAGCTGACACTGCAGGTGGCTTGTCTCCATCACCACCCTTCCTTGAAATCATGGTGCCCCTATGATTTTCGTGGGCATTGTGGATTAAGCAGCAAGACACATAAAATAAAAGCATGAAACAATCATTTACATAAAGCAAAAGTGCTCGCTTACCCGGTGGAACCACGGTCAGATTGACAGTGACAGCCTTGTGGGCGGGCAGCTCCTTCAAGTGAGCCACACAGGTCAACATGCCATCGCCCTGGGGCATGAGCATCAGGACACTCACTGTGCTTTGAAGGTCATCAGGGTCCGGGATGGAAAAATAGCTCACGTTGCTCGCAGGAACCCCAATCTCCCAGGAAATGTCCGGGAGGGGGATCCAGCCTGAGGCACGACAGGTCACATTACAAGGTTCATCCTTGACTACAGGACTGTCGTTGGGAATGTGCAGGCTCCCCATGACTGGAGAAGAAAAGAGAAATGATTTGTCGGAATGACCGTGCCTTGTATTTCCAGGTTTTGTTTAACTTTTCCTTGAATTCACTTTTCAGGAGACCTGATCTTCCCAAACCAAAATTGGCTGTGTCTTTATCAGAAACAGATGTAAGTTACATCTGTCTCTATTTATACCTGCCAGGCTTATAAAGAAGATGAATTTGCTCCCTCAAAAAACACTAATTCCAGAGAAAATGAATATAAACATCAGGATCCAAGAGGATGTGGATGACATGAGAAAGACGGTGCCACAGAAGTTGTACTTCCATGATGATGGAAGTGGAATTGCAAAATTGTCTTGAGTTCCCAGGAGCCAAAGAAAAAAGGGAAATAATCCTTTCATTTATTTCATTGTAAGAACAGCTCTCAGAGCCTCATGGGAAGCAAGTCTCTCCAGAACTTTGATTGGTCAGGTTCACTATTTATCATTGGAGTCACACATTTCCTAATAATTTTCCATGACATTGTCTTAAAATATTTTTCTAGTTACAAGCTACAGCAAAATGAATTCTAATAATAGAAATAACTAACCTAAATCATATATCAGATAATATTACCTAGATAGGTTCGAGTTTTTACTAAGGACCCATGTGTAGATGCCAGTGTTTATACTGTAAAAATCCCACTTGGAAATATATTTGAGTGTGTTAATATCACTAAAATAACCTGAGACTTGGCCCCGGGAAAGACACAGCCTTGATGCAATAGACCCAGATAGATAGATAGACAGATAATCTAATATATATTCACATTAAATTACCCCAAAGTTCCCCGCTGAGTAATATAATGGAAAGAACACTGGACTAAGAATCAATAAATCTGATCTCACTTCTGGCTTTTTCATAAATATTTCCCTCCCCTTGGGCAGGTCTCTGAAATGTTCAGGTTCTGTCTTTTCCCTCTTGACGGAGATGATTGACCAGAACGGTGGCGTTCAAACATTGTACAGTCAAAAACGTCATCGAGGACTCAATGATCTTTCATTTCTGTGGGTTATAGCTATCGATTTACTATTTGAAATTCAAATGAAATATGTATTTATTTTCTGATGTTTATTTTAAAGTAGCAATAATAGCCCCAGACTTGTTAATATAGATTAACATCTTTTTATGAAAAAAATACTTTAAATCAAAATAAATCAGTAAGAAGACTGTTTTATATTCATGCAAATCTTCAGAATGTCTGGTGGATTCTCATATCTACTTCTATATTCAATCTGTTGCAATGTATTACTTTGTTCAAAGCCAATAAAGAGAATTTGATTTCACAGAGATATAGTTGGAATATTGAGGAGCCCTGTGTTCTGATAATCATGGATAGTCTTTAATACAATATTAAATTTAGTTGCACTGTGGAGTCTAAAACTGTATAAAGGAGCTTTCACTCTGTTAGATTAGAATTCACTGCTCTGCCTGGCACGTTGCTGCTTTTGGAATTTGTTTTGCAATTGACATATGTCACTGTGTAAGTTTAAGGCATGCAGGAGACGACTTCCTTTATATACACTGTCAACTGATGAGCACGCTAGGCTTAGTTAGCATCTATCATGCAATACAGACACAATGAAAAGGGGAAAATAACTAATTAAGCCATGCAGAGTAAAAGACACAAAAATAAAGACAAGTTAGACAAATTCTTTATAAATGCAAATAGAAATAGGTAGACGTGTCTCCATCAAATGTTATCAAATTTGATTTGATAGTAACATAAATATAGATCAAATTCTTCAGGACTTTCTCCAAGAAGAGCAAGTGAATAGACAGAAGGAAAAACCAGAAAGCCAGAGGGTGGCCATGTAAGAAACGTGGCAGTAGGAATCAGGAGCCCTACTAGCTCAATGCACCTGCAAATAATATAGTATCACAGTTTTAGGGAATGCAAAATTATTTGACTTTGCTAACAACGTCCTAAAAAACATCCTTTTTTTCTAACTCTGTGGCATGACCTCTTGCGCCCCTCAAAATTACCTTTAAAATGAAAAAATGTGATTACCCATTATTAAAAATTTTGTTTGCTCGTCTCTTTTCTCTAGAAGACTTCATGTGTTTAGGGCACACACACCTTCGTGTATGAAGACCGCTGGGGCCAGGGCAGGGTACCAGATTGGGGGAATTCATTGGGAAAGAGGAAAACGTGAAAGTGTGAGTCAACGTTGCTCATGAAGGATGGCACAGAAGTAGAGAAGAACATGAGACCCTGGAGAAACAGCAAGAACTGTCAACTGCTGTGAAACTGACCCAGAGGAATCCCAGGATACGTTTCCAGAAAAGGTTTTGGTTATGAAATAGTCCAGGTGGGAAAGTGATTAAAACTGTCTTCAAGAGTCTTAATAAGAGAAAAAGGAAAACAAAGAGGGAGAGAAGGGAGGGAGGGGAGGGGAGAAATAAATTTTAAAAAGAAACCTTAGTCCTTTCAGAGGAATTCTAAGCATAACGCCACCTGAGGGTGCAGCCCAGTGTGGCACCAGACGTCCCTTCCGTCCCCGACACTTAACCCAGCGGCCCCAAATGTCCCCTGCAGTCCCGGGCACTCTCACCTTGGACGGACAGGAAGGCGTCCCCAACCCGGTCGCTGCTCTGGAGGCTGCACCTAATGTGCCCCGTGTCGCTGAGCTGCACGTCGTGGATGAGCATCTCGGAGATGATGTTGCCGCCCACCTCGTCGTAGCTGGCGGAGGTGAAGCGTTCGCTGGTGTTGATGGGCCCCGAGGGCGTAACACTCAGGACCACCACCCCATTCAGCGCCCACATGATGAGCTTCCAGCCCTGCGACACGGTGCAGTTGAAGCGGGCCTGCGAGCCCGCCAGCACCGTGGCATTCCGGGGGCCTTCGACGATCTGGTAGCCGGATCCGCAAGCTGGAAGACAACCAGCCCCCGAGGCGGTGAGTGACTGTCCCAGGGGCGCACAGTGAGGCCCATCTGTGCTGGCAGCTGTCACCCCCGGGGGGCCGGCGAGGGCTCGGTAGAGGTCAGAAGTGAGCAAGCCTCGTTCCGAGTCTGGGTGAACGTGGCCACGACTCCTCGGTTGCCTCTGAGCATGAGAGAGACGGACGGACTCTAAAAAACAACCAAGATTCGACCTTCTCCCTCACCCCTGGGCAGCCTCTCTGGCCCGAGGATCTCATTGTTCTGCGTTTGTTGGTGTTTTGGGTTTTTTTTTTTTTTTTTTAAGGAAAAAGCCTGAGAAGGGAAGTCACAAGGGATTCCCAGAGATGCCAGAGAAGCTGCGGCCGCTCGGCTCTGCCCACCAGCCCTGAACTGCATCTTGGGAAGAAGGGCAAGAGGAAGAAGCAGCCAATTCTGCACCCCGGGACACAGACCGCCGTGTGGTCATCTCTCCACTATGACAATGCTCTTCCCCACCCCGATGCTGGGGCTAGGGCTCGGGGACAAGGCCAGGGGGCTGGCGGGAGCACACAAGGAGGGTGGGACCCGGGCCGGCTTTGCAGGGAGCTCAGGGGGAGGGAATGGCACAGAATAAGTGGACCCCTCTGCCACCAGGGGCCTTCAAGCGCCACGCCAGGCAGCCTGCTTCCCCGCAGGACACTGTGTGCTCAGTCGGCCTCCACATGCCCCGTGGGCTGCGGAGTCACCAAGAATCCCCGCAATCTGCAGGCCTTGCCGGGCAGCTGGGAGGAGAAGGGGAGGCGGGAGGGACCGGATGGAAAGTCCCAAATCCTGGGCACCAAAATGCCCCTGACCTCGTTACCCGTGAAGCATGCTGGCGCCACGGGTCACTCCCCCGCAGCCCTGCCTCTGAGTCAGAAGCTGAATTTCTGGCCCCATGAGGCCCTGGCGTCTCCTTCCTCTCTCACCTGCATCTTATCAGCCAGGGGTGCCACCTGCCCGACACGGAACAAGCAGGAGAAACTGTAACGAGGCCCGTGCACAGAGCACAACACCCTTTCCCCTCTGTCCTCTCTCAGCAGAGGCAAATGAGGAGCAGGGAACGACCTAGCACCTCTCCTAGCAACACCCTCAGCCACCAGCCCCGTCACCCAACACCAGGTCCAGCCCGGAGTTTACCTGCTGCAAGGTTCTCCTCACACTCCCGCCTCCTCCAGCAGGACCCCAGAGCCTCCCTTCCGCAGCCCCAGCCTGGCCTCTGCCTGGCGCCTGCCAGCCTGACATTGCTGGGGCACTGTTGCCAGCTCCCCTGCCCCCCGAAGCCCCCAGGCCTCCTACACTGACCCTGAGTATGAAGACCATTCTCCTGCACTGGCTCCCCAGAAGGGCAGCTGCTTGCCCCCACGGCGTGGGGGCGGGGACCCCTCCGCTGTCCACTCCCCTCTTTTCTGGCATCCTCACTGCCCCTGTAGGCCCCACCTTCTCTCACCTCTTACCTGGCACTGGAAATGAGTAGAAATGGAAAGACAGCAAGAGAAATAAAGCAGCAGGCGGGCAAGAGCAGTGCTCTGAGGAGAAGGTGACGCGAGACTCATCTGGGGTGAGGCGAAGGATGGGGGTCCCCAGGCCCGTCTGAGCTGCCTGGCTAGTCTTGGGGACAGCGGGAAGTGCCAGCGCCACCACCGGGGCACCAGGGCCCTGAGCCTGTTCTCCACGCGGCCGCCAGCACACCTGCGTGGTTGGGAGCCCCGGCCCTGCCTCCTTCCCCCGCACCCCAGACGTGCAAAATGTTTCCAGTTCAGGATGAAGACCAGAGAATCCTGAGCGTTATCCCCGCTGGAGACCCGCCTCTATCTCACACGAACATCCCCCCAGCTTCACTTTGTCCCCCACTCTGCATGCTGCTGCGGGCCTCGCCCACCGACAGAGCACCCGCTCTCTCCGCCCCACCCCGGGCCTGTGCGCGGGCAGCGACCAGCCTGCCAGTCCCGTGTGCTCCTCGGCTCCTGCCCAGGCCACCCCTCTTAGAGCAAATTATGCTACAACAGGCTTCCTAGTTGGTGCAGTTGTGACGGCCGCGGCTGACAGTGAAAGCCCATCTCCCCTGAGGGGCCAAGCTCTGCGTGCAGGGGCTGCGCCTGGTGTTGCTCGTCACCGCAGGGAAACGGGTCCTCACTGATGGATGCTGCCTTCTGGCGGAACACTGCGGGAGGGGCTGCCAGGAGCCCCTGGGTGCCCCGGAGCTCCCTTCTCTGTGCAAAGCCAAGTCCCCAAACCCAGGTGTCTCTACCCTGGGACTTTCTAAGATGAAGGTTCTGGGGCTCGGCTTTTTTCCAGTGGACCCCCTGTCCTGGGGAGAGCATTCTAGAATCTGCCCACAAGGCTCTCCCCGCGCCCCCTCATTAGCCATCCTCGGGTCTCCCCCGAAGCCATCCTTGCCTTAAATCAGCACTTCAGGAAGTGTCTCAGAAAGACCATGAGTTCATCCCTGAGTTCATCCGTCCCCACTAAAGCCCTGAAATGGGGCATCTGGACCACTCCCCTTGCGTTGAGCCAGGCTGGCAGGGGCCGGGGCGGAGCTCCCTCCCTCGCTATGCAGCGGCCCAGATACCCCAGCACCATCCGGTGCCAGAGCCCAGGCGCACCCACACGCCGTCCTTCCTGGGGCGCCTCCAGCCCGGTGCCACGGATTCTGTTTTATTTTTATTGTATTGATTTCCCCAGGCTATTGGAGAATTACTTTTTAAGCATCTAGTCGCCTGGGAGTTGATATGCATACAAAGTACAGAATAAACGAGACGTGTTGTGAGATTCAAGTCAGAACAAGGGGTGACTGGGGCGGCACCTTGCGGGCGTGCTCTGCGGCCGGACGAGGCCTGCGCCTCTGCAGGGCGTCCTGTGCATGGCTGCGGAGCCCAGCGGCACCCAGGTGGGAAATGAGGAGCGACCGCGAGGAGCTTGAAATGTACTGGGGAGAATGAGACCAGCAACCTGGCGTGACACGACCCGCCGAAAGTCAGGGAGCCCCACACCAGCGCCATCCGGGCTTTGAGGTCCCTCTGTGCACGGCCCCTGCCCCGCAGTCTGATGGCGAGATGCTGCCCCATCTCACACCCGGAATGGCTCCCAGATAAGCAGTGGCCCCTCACTCTGACATTAAGTGGGAATTGGGATGGGCACCCCCAAAAGCCGCCAAGTCAGGGAGGCTTGGCGGGGAGGTGACGCCCAGCTGGTCTTCCCTGCAGGCCAGAGAGATGCAGAGGAGAAGGAAAAACAGGCTGGGGCAGGACGTGTCACCCAGAGCAGTGGCTGCGGGAAGGCACCGGGGGCAAACCCCAGTGAAAAGGACTCGGAAGCTAATGCATTGAGGACACCCCACATTTGAAATTGAGTCACCATAGCAGAAAATGGCACCCACAGGGCAAGTCACATGGCAAGGGGGCTGAGTGGGAAGTGACCAAGGAAGGAGTTTGTGGCAGCCCCTCTGGGTCCCACACCCCACGGCCATCAGCCATCCCTACCTGCCAGCCCCAGCAGGACGGCCAGCGCTGCCCAGATGCCAGTCCGGCGGCCCTCCATCTGCTCATGTCCTTCCTGACCTGGAAGACATGGGGGGGCAAGTCCATCAGGAGCAGCTCCGGCCAGCGCCCATGTCCGCTGAGGGCACTGTCGGCAGCACCAGCCCACGGGACTCGCCAGAGAAGTGACATCTTGTGCCCGTCTCAGACCTGCAGAATCAGAAACTCTGGGTGAGCCACAAATCCGAACTGTCATTGTGGCCCATTGCTGGTGCCCGCTCCTGCGGGGATCACGGTGTTGAGGCTTTCGCCCTCCGCCTCTGCAGAAGGTGGGGAGCACGTGGTGCGCCAGGCCACACCAGACCACACCAGACCACACCAGGCTGCCACAGGCATGTGGGCTGACCCCTCTTCAATTCCACGTGGCTCTAGTCATCGAGGGGAAGATGCTGCCCACAACCAACTTATATTTTAAAGGGAAAACAGGCAACAAAATGAGGAAACAGGCACGAGGTCTATTAGGAGGAGGCGAGAGGTCTAGAGAGAAACAGAACAGGGAGGAGCCTTGTGAGGGGCGTGTGCACAGGGGTGCCAGTCAGCGCTTCAATGGGGAGGACAGAGGCACCCTGAGAAGGTGAAGCACAGTCACAGGAGACTTCAGGAGAGCTTACTAAGCAGGAACAGCAGGTGCAAAGGCCCTGGGGTAGGACCAGGCCTGGCATGTTTGAGGAGCTGCAGAGAGGGCTCTGGAGCTGGGGCAGAGTGGGGGGTCAGAGGCAGGGAGGCCCGGGCAAACGGAGTGAGGCCTTCCTGCCCCTGGGGTCACAGGGGGCTCTGTCGTGTACAGCTCCCAGCCCCTCCTTCCAACCCCGCTGCTCCTTGGTAACGCCCTTGCTCACGTTCTTTCTGCTCATCCTCACCTTCCTCTCCAGGTCAGGCCCCTCCAAGGTGGTCTCTAGCACTTCCCATCCCTGGAGGTTGCAGTCACCCCCAAACATGCCATGACTGGGCACAAAAAGGGGCTCTTCTTTTCAAACAGGCCGTCCACCACCGACGTGCAGGGCACCACGGCTGGCCATTTTCACACCCACACAGCACTCTGACAGCCACACGTTCTCATGGCCCGCTGGGGGAATCCACCCTTTTCCTCCAAAACTTGGGGCACCACGTGCCAGCAGGACGCCATGTGGACACTGACCAGTCCCCTGTCCCAAAGACTGGGGGACCTCCCTGCAGGGCAGACCCATGAGCGGAGACACAGAACTAAAGCAGACACGAGGCCCAGCCCATGGAGCACCGCGTTCAAGTTGCTGAATAAGCCAACAGGTGAGGGACCCCCAGGAGCACAGGCCGTGGCGTCCACCTTACGTTGAGGGTCACTGGCATTCACAGCCGGCAGGAAGGAACGTGGGGTTCCCACCTCTTTGTTTCCCGGCTGAACTCCCCAACAGGTGGTCCAACATGAAGCCAAAGTGTCTGCCGAGGCACCACCCATTGTGGAAACTCACCCCTCGGAGAAACCTAACGCAGACCCCACGATGCCCGAAACACGCCCCTCGGATCCCGCAGCTGCACGCACCGGCCTGAAGTCACAGCCTCCCGAGGCCCAGCCAAGACCCCCAGGGCTGAAGCACCCCATAAGCCTTGACTAGTTCTCAGGATTCCACGGTCGGCCAGGACCAGCTGACAGCTCCACCGTCACCTCCAGGCAGACCCAAGCTGACAGCGCAGGACAAGCCCGGGTCATCCGAGGCTACACGCTTTACCAGAAGCTCGAAGCATGGACCAGGTGACTGACACGGCAGCCAAGCTCAGGGCCCCCGAGGAACCCCACCCCGTTGCTGATAACCTCGCTGAGTCCGCTGAGGATGAGGCCCAGCTTACTCATCAAGTGCTCCGAGCGGCCGCTGCCCCTGCCCCGGGTGAGGGTCTGCCTCCCTCTCTGGGCAGCACGCCTGGGTGGGCCGACTAGCGACCGGTGGTAAGTGACCTCAGACACGGGAAGTGCTGCCCTGGAGCTGATTTCCTGACTGAGCCGCCTCTACTGCTATTTCAGGGTCCGACCCCCAGGGGCTAGCCTGACAGGTCCCTGAGGTCAAAGGTCTCATTCATATCTAAGACTCAAATGACCCACTTTGGGTTGAAAAACTGCAAAGTCACCATCGCAACATCTTCTGCTGTGTAATCTTAAATATATTTAAACAGACAGGACAGAACCCCCTGGATTCCTGAAGCCCCAGCAGGGCAAACACAGATGTCTGCCTGCACCCCCCAAGCTGATCTTCTCAGGAGGAACACACCTCACTGAATTACCCCACTCACAAACCCCTATTTCAGGTTCTTGGGAAGAGCCTGATACCCTGACACCCCAAGGTGCCTGCATGGAGATGACTGAGCAGAAGGCCCGACCCAGGCATCCCCTGTGCCACAGCAAACCCAGCTCTTGCAAACCTGGACAGGAGTGAGAAGGCAGCTCAGCGCACCCCAATATCCCACCCCAATACTTCCCGCCAGAGCAAGTTGGGCTGCACCTCTGGACGCTGAGCAACCCTGGAGGCCTTCCCGTCGGCAGCAGCGACAAACAGCCTTTCAAAGTCTGCCTGAAAATGGGCGTGAAGCTGGGCGATGCCCGGCCTTCAGACCTTCCCCTCCAGTTCCGGCCGAGCCTCAGCTTCCACAGCGTCCTGACACCCCATCACTGTGAAGGGGAGGCCCACTTGGGGAGAAACCACCCCGCATTCCTGTGCTCTACGACCAGCCTGCTCTTTTAATTTTTAACTTTGTGGAAGTCCGGAAACAAAGAGCCTGTGTGTGAGGCCCAGCACTTTCCCCAGCGGCCTGCTAACCGGCCTTCTGAGAGGTCTCTCCTGAGAGCCCGACACGGTGGAGAAACCCCCAAGAGAGTAGGACAGGCCACACCCCGGAGAGTCTTACCTGGCCGGTCAGTCTGCTCCTCAGGGCTTCAGCAAAGGCTCCCCATTGCCTGAGGGCTTCTTGGCCTCTGTCCTCGCTCCACCCAAGCGGAATCAGCTGCTCTCCGGCCACCAAAGAAACCAAAACCAGCCTCACGCTAACAGGAAGTTCCTCACGAAATGGCTCTGTGGCGTCACGACCAGGCTGCAAACAGAGGTGGCCCCACCGTCACGGGCCCATGTGCCCGGAGCTGCACAGTCCCTGTTAATCGTTAGCCAGTCCCGCTGGGGCTGGGTGCCAGGCTGCCTCCCCGGCCCGGCTGTCCTCAGCCCGCGCAGCGGCTCGTCTCCTCCACCAGCCCGAGGCTACAACCCTTCCTGCCTGGATGCCCTGGCCGACCTTGCTCCCCGCCGCCGGCACGGCCCCAGCCCCAGACCGGGGAAGCCGGTTCCTCGCCCAGCCAGGCACGGCCACATCCAAGAACAGGTTCTTTTGTGAAAAAGAAAAACAGGCCTAAGGGTGCAGGCCCTGGAATGTGGCCACCCAAAGGTGGGGTGGCACCAGTTGCTGTGGAGTGTTTGCCCAGAACTGAGTCATCTCTGGGTTGTCTTCTGGGGGTTCTGCTCCCCACCGGCAGCTCCTTGGAAGAGACATAGGTGCACCAGCCATTTCCGAAAAAGACCATCTCCTGAAAGCAGGACCATGTTAACTGTCCGCCTCACAGGCGCGTCCCATAGGGACAGGCCTCCACTGCCCCCCACTGCATTTGAATCTTGCCGGGGCCTCAAGTCCAGGGCATGTGCACCTGACAGGCAGCAACAGAAGGTGTGGGTCATAGATTCAGAGGAACACCCGGAGGCGAATACAGAGGGGAAAAGTCTGTGCCTTCCAGTTGAAGGGGATCAGAATATGCCCCCCAAAATATGCTCTCTCCTGGAACAAAATAGGGGAGCACGGGCTCTGTCTGGTGTCTTGTTCTCCATTATTTTCAGCTTAAATAACCTCCTGCCGAAGCGGCCTCCTTTGGGATGGGCAGTCTGACCCCTGGCGGTGCCTTGATGACACTGCATGGTCAATAATAACCAAGCCCCCCAGCCCCCGCCCCCAGAGGGCACCCGCCCAACCCCAAATCTGGGGACCAGTTACCCAGGGGCCAGCCCTGGGACAAGATGGGAAAACCACACAAAAGTCATCGGAAATGCAGCTCTGACATTGTGTGGGATGTTTTTTGAACCTGGGAGGTTTGCATTATTTCAAAGTTTAAACTTAAAGAGATTTTATTAATATTTTTAGACCAGGCTATTTTAAAATCACAGAGTTTAAATTTACATCAAACATCGTCACATTCTAATTCCAATTGTGGAGAAGTTCTGCAGGCAGCTTTGATTAAGGGATGGGGGAAGTCCCTGAAGAAACTGGGTTTGAGCTCAGATGGGGAGTGGGTGAGTTGGGTGGGAGGTGGGGTGCAGGGGCACCTCCTGGGCAGAGGAAACAACTGCGGCTAGTGAGCCCCTGAGCATCTCGGGTGCCAGGGGCCTGGTACACCTGAGGGAGTTCAAAGAGTCTCGTGGGAGCTGAATGCAGAGGTGGGAAGTAACAGGGGATCTTGGATGAGCCTAAAGGGGAGGCAGGGTCCAGACCAAGCACAGTCCAGAGCCTAGTTTTTATCTACAGACATAAAAAGGGATGCCAGGGAGCGCAGGAAAAACTTTGAAATAGACACAGAAGAGTCTGGGGTTATGTGACTTAGTAAGGCCGAGCTGTGTTTGTGCCTTGGAAATTCCTTGCGACGGCTACATGTGCGTGTCCACAGGACCGGACACAGACGTCCCGAGAGCTGATCAAACATTATTTCTGATAAGTCGGAAAGAAAAAGAAAAATACCGGATGGTTTCTCTTATAGGAGGAATGTAGGGGATCCAAGTAAGGGATCGGGGGAAAAAGTAATTATAATAAAGTAAACATCAAAATCAACAAGCAACTATAAACCAGAGACATTCTGCAGGTGGTGGGGAGCGGAGGGCGTTGTATCAAAGCAGGGGCGGGAAGAGCACACGGGACGGTGGTGACGGTGCACGGGTGACTCGGTGGTGGGAATTTCAGGGGGACTATGCCTGAGATGATAAAGCCTGTATTGTATAAAAATGAAGACTGATGTAAAAATAGATAAAATTAAAATTTTTTTTAGAAAAAGCCTTATTTCTGAGTCTGTCTGAGGAGCACCTCCTGAAGGTGTCACCTATTTTACTAGTAATATTTTCATTGAGGTGATGCTGGTTTACAACACGTGTGTGATTCGGAGGTGCAGGGTCCCGCCTCTTCAGGTGTGTGTCACCACACCCCCCCACCCAGCCACCCCCTCCCCAGCCCACGGGCCCCTCTTCCCTTTGCTTCCCCCTTTACCCTCCCTCTCTGTGGCCTCAGTTCTACAGTCAGACTCCAAGGGTTTGTTCTGATTTAGTTTCATCTGTTCCTTTGCTTTGCTTCTCCGCATTCCACACGGGAGTGAAACCATCTGGTGTTTGTCTTTCTCCTTCTGACTAATTTCACTTAACATCATGCCCTCCAGTTGTCACAAATGGCAAAGCGACAGTTTGTCTTTTTTATTGCTGAGTAGTATTCCATCATGTACACATACCAGTCCTCCTGATGAGAAAATGTATTATTGACCAAATGACTATAATAAAGATTCCAGCAGCACTTCCAGCCCAGGTGCAATGAACACTCCAATGCAGGCGTCATCAACAAGTTTGCTGACTTACAGCTCCTTCCCTCTCAAGATTCATGGCCGGGCCCTCAGCACTCTCATCTACAAGGTGAGGCAGGGGGCCAAGCTGCTCTCCCTCTCCAAGGCCATCCCCCGAATGCCTGCATCTTTCCCCCCTTGGCTTGCCCCCTTGTCTGGGGACTTTGCCGCAAATGGTCGTGTCTGCTGAAAAACGATGCTATCCATGTAACAGATGTGAACACGGTGTGTATAAAAGGCACCCTTGGTCTTTAAATGGGTGCTCAGACCTTACGGGGCTCCCCAGTCTGGGACCTAATGTATGAGTCATAAAGCTTCTCCTGGCCTCACCATTCCTGAAGTACCGCTTGTTCTTCCTCTGCCTGGGGAAAAGAATGGAATTCATTCCTACAACACTCTCTCCACGCCTCTGGATTGTCTCGGTACCTTGCTTATCGTAAACAGTGTTGCAGTGAACATAGCCACGTCTTGCTTTCTTCAGCTACATGCCCAGGAGTAGGAGAGCTGGATCATCTTGTGTTTCAGCCTGTGGTTTGCATTTCCCTGATGATGAGGGATGGTGAGCACTTTCTCGTGGGCCTCCTGTCCTTCTGGATGTCTTCTTTGGAGACATGTCTACTGAGTGCTTCAATTTTTTGACCTGGTTCATTGTTTTATTGTTGGCTAATCGGCTCAGTACACCAGGAGAGTCAATGGCCCTCCCAGAGGTGGGTGGGTCTCACCCAGCCCAGGGGGCTGAGCAGAGGGGTGGACGAGGGAGGGCAGATTCTCTCTCTGCCTGGCTGCCATGGCTGGGACGCCGCTGTCCACCTGCACTTGGACTCCTGGTTCTCAGGACTTGGGATTCGGACAAGGACGTACGCCACCAGCTCTGCAGCTCTCGGGCTTCAGGCTTGGATAACTGGATGTCCACCTTGCTGTTGGCAGAGGGGGGGACTTCTTGGCCCCCACCTGCACGAACCAGTCTCATTTTACAGATGCATCTTCTGCTTCTCTGGAGTTGTAAGAAATCAATGATCATACTTGAGTCTAGTACTTAGAGATGTAAATGAGCTTTGGTAAAGATGCAGCTGATATTTGCTCCTCAGAGATTGACTAATTTTGCATCTATTTATAAATTTTTCAGAATTCACAATGGTGTGTATGTGTGTTCTTTGAATTTGCCATTGAATCTGCTATAACATCTTGTTGGTTTCCTCGTTGCTTAATGAGTTAACATCTTAGACACATGTTCATTTTAAATTTATATGAGAATATCAATATATATATTATATAAGACAAACAGGTCATATTTTATCTTTTTAAAAAATCCTTTCACAGGGGCCTCCCTGGTGGCACAAGGGGGTAAGCACTGCACTATGAAGCAATCTGCAGCCACTGCAGCACAAGTTCGATCCCTGGCCAGGGAGGTGGCCCACATGGTGCGGCAGACCTCTCCTGGCTCGCCCGCTGCTCCCCTCAGCAGTGTATTTCAGTCAGTCTGCCTGTTCTGTTCCCCGCTCTGTCTCTGGTGAATCTTCTCACCGCCCCCCCCCACATTGCTGGCCTGTACCCCAGCTCTTGTATGAATAAATAAATAAATCTCTTTTAAAAAATCCTTTCACAGGGCTCTGTGAAGAATTTAAGTGTACAAGGGGAATGATCTCTGCAGAATAGTTAGGGAATATTAAAAGCAGGTTTTGCTGCTTCCTACTTATAGAAACAGCAGGTCCCCTCTAGGCTCAGCCTAATATGAAGAAGAAAATAAAAACCATTTGTAACGTCCATATCACTCTAGATAAGCATTATGAATTTTTTTTTAAAGATTTATTTATTTATACAAGCACTGGGTACAGTCAGCAGTGCGGGAGGGTGAGAGAATTCACCATAGCCAGAGCGGGGAGCAGAGCAGGCAGAAGGACCGAAGTACACTGCTGAGGGGAGCAGCGGGCGGCAGGAGAGGTCTGCGCGCCATGTGGGACCCTCCTCCGGTGGCCGGGGAGCAGCCGGGGATCGAACCGGCGCTGCGGAGGCTGCGGGCAGCTTCGCAGCCCAGCGCTCAACCGCTGCGCCACCAGGGGAGGCCCTAGATAAGCATTATGAATTTTTAATGAATAGCTTCTAATATTCTCTTTATCACAAAAGTGATACATATTCATGCTGGAAAAATTAGAAAATCCAGGAAAACATAAAAGCTGGAAGTTGCTCTTTAAAGAGAGGAATGCTGTTAAGGCTGCACTGCCAAGCCCTGTGGTCCTCGCACACCACAAACCTCCACCTGACAGGAGAGAGAGTCTTTCTCGTGACCCCAGGACTTACTGTGCAGGCGGGGCAGCACCCTGTGCTGCCTGCAGTTTTCATCATCATTCAGGACGAGGACAGCCTCCCGGCTAGACGGGAGCAGGCAGCGCAGGCCCCAGGAGTCCTGCTGGGAAGATCAGTGACCGCGGCAGCCACAGTGGGGAGACCAACAGGCAGAGCACAGGAGACTTTAGGGCAGCAAAATTACCCCAGAGATACTGCGACGAGGCAGCACCAGAGTGAACCCCAGGTGGCCATGGACACTGGGGACCTCCTTGCGGCCATGGAGGTCCATAGGCCGTACCAATGCACCACCATGGTGGGAATGGACAGCAGGGGAGGCCGTCCTGTGTGGGGCAGGGGTATAGGGAACTCTCTGAAGTTGGGGGTGTAGGGCTGGGGCCCCATTGCTTGCCGGCTGCCAGCCAGAGCTGCGCTCTCTCCTGAAGACCCTATGGTCCTGCTGGTGGCCCCTCAGCCTTCCAACCCCACAGCACCTTGCACCCTCCTGGTTCCAGGCCTGGTGCTGCCAGCTGAGCGAAACTGTTTTAACAACCTCGTGGGAGGGGAGGACCCGCCAGGAAGGCCTCCCCGTGCCTGCAGAGTGACAAGCGACAGGCACGATGTCCCTCCTGCCAGGTTTCAGCCGCACTCAGGAGGGGGTGCTGCAAAGGTGGGGTCAATTCAGAGCTCGCCCATGGCGTCCACGCCACTGTGTTCTTCTGGCAGAACAGACTCGGATACAAAACTGGAGCTGCTGGGGCTTGGACCCCTGGGTGGAGGAATTTTGAAGAACTTGGGGGTCATGTCATAAAACCACTTTAACTCCCAATCGTGTTGGCTGTGAGGGGGACAGAGGCAGGGGTGCAGAGGGCCCCTCAGTCCCACCCCCGGGACTCAGGTGTCCACTGTCCTCCAGGTGACACGAGACCTTGGGGGACAACACGGTTCTGCCAGGGGACAAGGAAAGCTGATGGCTGAGGGGGTTTCAAAAATGGTCATTAACTTTGGGGACCTTCTGCTGGTACCTTGACCCTAAGCCAAAAGCCCCCCACTAAGTGTCTGTCCTGTGAACCACAGCTCACACAGAGAGCTTGAATAAAGGGCTTTAATAAAAAATTAAAAAGTGGGCCTTGAAAGTGAACTTAGATTTTCAAAGACAAAATATTTTTTAAATGAATTCCAAAGCCTAGAAAAGTATAAATTGCCCCAGAACATCCTCGTCTAATTGATTCTATTCTATTTTTACAGAGGAGCCTCATTTTCCACATGTCAAGCGGCTGACACAGCGCAGGTGGGGCCGGGAGAGGGGGAGCCTTTTTTGGTGATTGGCGCCGCGCGGCTCCAGGCCGCCTGGGACTCGCTGGGTGTCAGTGTTGGCTCGAGCGTGGCCCCTTCTTGCTTCGGAGGATGAGTTAGATTTCCCTTGACCCGAGATACAAACATCCACCGGGCCGGCGTCACCGGCTGAGCTGACTCCCTAAATGGCCGGTGGAGCCCACACCTGCGGGACTTCGGGGCGCAGCCTTATGTGGGGATGGTCCTGGGAGCCGCCAAGCAGGGCCTTTGGGAGGGGCCCTGGCCCAGTGTGACTGGTGTGCTTGTGAGGAGAAACCGGGACGCAGCCACAGACAGGTGTGGAGGACAAGGCGGAGGGGCGGGACGGAGGTGCGGGAGGGCAGGCGCAGAGGTCGCCATGGCTGCGCCATGAGCCCAGGGGCCGCTGCCTGCCTGGAGTTGAGAGAAGACAGAGGGGTCCCCCCTTGCAGGCTAACGGACGATGACCCTGAGGATGCCTACTCCTGGCCCCCAGGCCTGCCAGCCGACCAGCTGCTGTTCTCCTGAGCCAACCGGCTGTGCTCTGTAACCTGGAAACTCTGAGGCCCCCGCGCGGGCCCTGCTGCTGGGCCCCGCGCCTGCGGTTCTGCTTGCCTGCAGGCCTCGCTCTCTGCTTCACTTCCTCCTGTGTTTCCTGTGCAGTCCAAGCCGGGGGCGGTGGCTTGAGCTTCTCTATAACACCCCGAGGCCCCAAAGGAGAGCTCTACCTCGCGCCGTAAATGGGCTCAACACTCCTCCGTGCGCCCCTCCTCCGTCTGCCCATTTTGTGAGGTCTCCCGTACCCAGGAGGGGCCCCCTGCCTCGCCGGGATTGGGTGTCCTGGCTATTCCACACGAGCTAGTTCCACCTGCTGCTGAGTGTCCTCTGCGCTTCTGTCTTCCGAGGCTACAGCGCGCTCATCTCTCTGTGCCCAGCCAGACTGGAGACAGTGCCCGGCACCAAGGGCGCCCGCAGGGGACGGCGGCCGTGCCCGGCACCTATCGCCCTAGTGCCACCGGGGGCCACGTCCCCCTGGCCGCGGCACCTTCTCCTTCCTCTTCCTGGCCGCAGAGCAGAGGGGTGATGCGCCCCACAAGCAGCACTCACGGGTGGCAGAGTGAGTGGGTAGAAGGACTCTGACCCCCCAGGGCTCTGAAGGAAAGGGCTGCCCTTCGTGTTGTCTTTTGTGGAGAAAAATAATCTGCTTCAGTTAAGCTGCTGTTGCTTTCATCTCCAAAGCAGCCAAACATACAGCCGGCTAACACACAGGGTACGGGGGGTGGGGGAAACGGGGTGCTCTTAGGGAAATTCACGGTGTATTGGGCGACGTTTTGGTCCTTGGTAGTTAGAAAGAACACAGGCCTGGAGTCACAAACAGTGCATCTCCCCTCCCAGACTCGATTTCTCTTCTGCCAAACCCCCTCTCCGTGGGGCTGAGCTGGTGAAAGCTGATGTGTTTGTAAAGGGCCAGCCGCGCCCGGGGCAGCAGAGGGGCGTGTAACCCCCAACGTTCCACACGGAGAGAGTCCCCCGAACCTCAGGCAAGTCTTCACTCTACCTGGGCTTTCCGGCGCTCCCTGGTGGCCTTGTTCTCTGCTGCTCTCGTGGTTCTGCTGGCGTCGCCATGACGCCGCTTTTATAAGGCCAATCTCTCAGCCCATGTGTGCCCACTTACACAGGCCCACAGCCCACTCCAGGTGCCCGCCCTCAGGCATGCGTTCAGGACCGCGGGGTTCCATCATCCATCCTAATGGCGGGAGGGCAGAAAAGCCTGATACTTTTTTACCTTACCCTACGCATGGGGTCAGCAGTGGGACTCTGGGCACCTTCAGTGAGAACAAATAAACACAAAAGTAGCAAAGAAGTGCATTTCTGGTGGGTAAAATGAGAGTAATTCACCTACCATTGAAAGGAAGTGTAACAGTCTTACTAGCCTTGGTGAGGACTAAAGAACACCCCTGCTTAATAAATGCTCACTTACATGGGGTGTCTTCAGTGACGTGGACGAGAAACCACGCTGCACTGTGATGGTGACAGGCGCAGTGCAAGGCTTTATCCCAGAACAGGACAATGTATGCTGGGTGGCTGTGAAGACAGGTAAGGCAGAGCACAAAAGACAGGCGGTAACACAGGTGCTATTTTACATAAGAGATATGGCTGGGTGTACCAGTCAGGACAGGAAGGCCCTCTCGTGTAACGGAGAGCCTTGTGGCTCAGCACAAGCCCAAGCGCACGCGTCATTCACACTACCTGGGCTGCAGGTGCTGCTCATCTTGCTTCCTCAAGGTGATGGAGCTGCATTGTGTTAGCCAGAGCTGATAATGAAGAGCCCCCCAACTCTGTGTAGCCCCGATGAAGGGGTGTGAGTTAAGAGTCAGGATGAGCTGCCCTGGTCCCTGAAGAGGCCGTGTGTGCACAAGCAGCATCTGGAAACCGCTGCATCTGAGTCAGGAACTCCAGAGAGCCTCCCCTTGCCACTTCTGATGCTGATCAGAGGCCATCTCCAGAAGACAGGGCTCTGGGTTGAGGTTCACCACCTTCTGCTTTCCTTGAGGCGTGGACAACAGCAGACAGGCACCGCAACAGGACCCCTGCACGGGTTTTCCTTGTCTCTGCAGAAAATTCTCAAAATGAGGTCCAGAAGCTCACCAACTGCCTAGAAATTCTCCCTGAGAAGCTCAGAACTGGGGTGGCTTCCCCAGAGCGATCTGGGGGGGCATTCTGGGGCCCCAGCCCTCACTCTGATTCTTTGTTAATGAACTCACTTACTTTTGCTTGCCTCGGTTTATCCCAGATGACAATTGTAACAGGAAGGGGACAGATCATGTGGCTCTTACAGATCCCCTGAAGTAGCAGGTCATTTCTGTTGTATTCCGGGGTCCAGACCAAACCACATGGCACCTCCACGAGCGGGCAGGGAGGCTCGTTGTAGGGTAAGGAAAAAAAAATGTCAGGCTTTTTCTGCCCTCCCTCCATCAGGATAGATGACGGATCCTTGTGGTCCTGAATGCATGCCTGATGGCGGCACCTGGAGCAGGGTGTGGGCATATGTAAGTGGGTACACCTGGGCTGAGACCGGGCTTTTAAGGGCGGCGTCACGGGGACACCAGCAGAAGCCGAAAGAGAAGCTGAGAGAAGCAGAAGCAGAGAAGCAGAACTACCAGAGAACACCGGAGAGCCCAGACAGAGTGAAGGCTTGCTGGGGGCTGGGAGGCCTGCCAGCCTCCCGGCCTCCCAGCACCCCTGCCTGCCGTGTACCTGGTCAATCCCAATAAAAGCCTGCAAAAGCCACTGAGGGCTCCAGGACTCCTCCTTTACCTGGTCTGCATGGGATCATAGAAAACCTGCCCTGTGGTCTTCCTGACCTTACACTCGTGCGCCCACATGAGGAGGCCACACGCTTGGTAAACAGCACGCTCACATCCTGCGCAGCTCTGCATGTCGGTGGTTGTCACACTGTCACCACCGCGCTCCTGCCCTCTCTCTGAGCCGTAATGAGGTGTCCTTCCTGCCCCTTCCCTCAAGCGCCACCCTGAGTGTCTCTGGTGAGTTTCCTGTTCCCTGACATGTTTTCTAAAAGCATGCCTTCACAATCAGCCTCATCAGGGCAAAGTCCAACCTGTCATCTGTTCTCGTGATAAAGTCTTGCTGGAACACAGCCAGGTTCACTTATTGACATGGTTCCATGGCTGCTTTCTCTCTGCTACCACGTAGCTGAGCAGCTGTGACAGAGATTCATGAGCCTCCGGGCCGAGAGTGCTCGCCATCTGGCCCTCTACGGAGTCTGCTGGCCCTTCATCTGTAGCATTCAGAAAATGTAAAATGAGAGCGTCCTTTCGTTTAATAATTCCCCTCTATAAGAAAATGACCAGGAGTGTGCACATAACTAATATAAAAGAACATACAGCAGAAAAATGTTTGTGACAGGGGGATGGATGGGTGGGTAGGAGGATGGGTAGATGGATTGGTAGATGGACAGGTCAGTGGATGGATTGGTGGATGGGTAGGTAGATGGGTAGGTGGGTGGGTTGGTGGATGGATGGGTGGATGGGTGGGTGTGGGTAGGTAGATGGGTGGCTGGGTGGGAGGGTGGTAGGTGGACAGAGATGGATACATGACATTGTGATGTATAGTAAGAAATATACATATTTGATCCTCATGCTCATTATTTGCATGGAGCTTCTAAAACTCATAGAATTTCCTGATAAGAGAGACAAGGGTGTCTTTTGTTTTTCATGAAATGCCTATTTCAAACACACCTGACTCTATGTTAATGAGGTAACTTTCAGAAAGCCCCTGAGGATGGTAGCCAGTTGCCAAGGAAACCACCCTATGATTACAAAGCTAGAATTTTCAGCAGCCCCACACCCTGTGGCCAGACCCAGAGAGTCCAGAGGGCCAATGGCTCAGCCCACCAGGCCACTCAATGAAGGAAGCACCAGGAGATCCCACAGGACGGGGAGCAGGGCGGCCAGGCGGCGAGCCAGACGGTGTCCCTGTCCTAGGGCAACAGGTGGTCCCCAGAGGGAGGGAGGTTCCGGTTCCCTGCCCCACCCAGAGAAAAGGGGCAGAAAGATCCAGACAAGTCTGGAAGGAAAAGAGCAAAATCAAGATCAAGATAAACACTGCTGTTGTTAACCTCCTGCGGGTCTCTCACCCACGTCTCAACCAGCCCGAGGTGGAGAAGCAAACGCTGTCGCCCTGACGAGGCCTCACCCTCCTCCCAGCAGCCTCCTTCAACGCCCTCCCTTGTGCTACCCAGGCAGCCCCGGCCACCGCCTGGCCCTGCAACCTCCCCTGGCCTCTCCTCCTCACCCCTTCAAGCCCTCCCTGTACCCCACAGCCCCTCCTGCTCTCTCCTCCCCCATCCTCTCCCCATCCCTCCTCTTTGCCCCCCTCACCCTTCCTCCCCATTCCCCCCTCTCTCCTGCACCCCATCCCACCCTCCCCCGCCCAGGGCCCGCCTCCTCTCACTGGGTCTAGGCTTATCACTTCCCAGGTTTCCATGGGCCCTTCAGGTGGCCCCAGGTGTTACCCAGGAGATGGGCGAGGAGCCACCACCACCTGCTGCTGGGGGCAGAGGGAGGATCCCCAAGGGCATAAATGGCCGCCAGCCCCCACCCCGTCCGCGGCCAGGGGGTAAGTCTCATCAGGAGGGTGTGAGAACCTGGAAGCTGGGCTCGGACCAGCCCGAGCTCACGGCCGCAGACCCGCCTCCGCCTCAGCCGACCGCCACGGACAGTGTCAGAGCTTTTTAGTACAAAAGTGTCTCCAATGATGCGTGAGACAACTTCTCCTGACCATTATCCACGGCTTATCTGAGTAGTCGGGAATTAGACTAAGAAATTATTTGTTAGTTGTGTGAAATTAACTGGATAGCCTACATTTTCCCTGGAAATCTTGCAAGATCTATGTCTTCATCAGTACAGCGAGGTAGAGAGAGCCTTCATGGGGCTCTCTGCCACGTGGACAGACATATTTTAGGAAATAACGAGCGTAAAGACTGGAACGCCATAAACTCAATAAATTGTCATCACCTCTTGCTTCCTATGTTTTTGCTTTTGGCCATCTTACTGTACGCCTGCTGCACTTGGGAAATTATTAATAGTTTCCCATTTTACATTCCAAACCATCCCAGGCTGGGTGATAAATTGTATGTTCATCGCTGGTGCAGAGACCAAAGGCCCACGACACAATTTTCCTTGCAGCTTGAGCTGATGTCCTGATCTCAGCCACCACGGGGGCCGCCCCGCTGAGCCAGGAAGAGACACATAAGACCTGAAGAGCATCCTCAGCCCTGACCCATGCTCAGGTGCACACACACACGCACACACACATAGACACACACACTTTATATTTTTCGGAGAGACTGGGTGACTCAGTAATTCTATGGATGCTCACCCTAAAGTTGAAACACACAAAAAAGACTCAAATCACACTGATTATAAAACCCACAAACGATTATCTTCTAGTCCTGTTTTCTTCTGGAATAAGATGAAATTGTATTTCCACTTTCATAATTCAGGCTCAACTTAGCCAGAACAATCATTATATTCTACAAAAGCAGGAGCTATTTGCTTACAATGTATCTTATGGGACCTAAAACAACACCTGCATCAACAGGTACCCCTTGATAGAAGGCGCAAGGACAGGAGTCTGTGAGTGATGGATGGATGCACCCGGGACTGAAAAAATAGAAAAAAATAGAAACATAGCTGAATGAAATTTTCCTGACACTTTTGGAAGTTGCAATGATACAGTGCAGTTGAAAGCAAAAGCCATCTCCTGGTGGTGCAGGTGATTGAGTGCGGCGCTATGAAGCTGTCTGCAGCCTCTGCAGCGCCGGTTCGATTCCGGCCGGCCGGCGAGGGTCCCACATGGCGCGGCAGACCTCTCCTGTCTCGCCCGCTGCTCCCCTCAGCAGTGTATTTCTTCAGTCTGCCTGTTCTGCTCCTGCTCTGTCTCTGGTGAATCCTCTCACCCTCCTGCGCTTCTGGCCGGTACCCTGGTTCTTGTATAAATAAGTAAATAAATAAATCTTTTAAAAAAATGCCTTTAAGGCAGGAAGGGTTAGCAACCGAGTCATGAAAGAGAAAACCAATAGCTTCATTTTTACTTATCCTACCTTCAATATGAAGATAAAGGGTTTTACTTTCCATCCTCATGGAAGGAAAAGCACACTGAAGAGAGGTTTTTTTGTGTGTTTACAGTTAACATTGGCTTGCGTTATTGTTGGTATTTTCAAAGTATAGGTGGTGACCCCCACCCCAGGGATCACCACCAGAGAGCACCCATCACTAAATCACCTGGTCCACCACCACGGTCCATTGTGCTTCCTTCTCTCTTTGTTCTCAGAGCTCCCCCCAGGCCTTCCAGATGTGTCAGGTGTGTAGTCAGTGCTCAAGTGTTGTTTGTCTTTATCTGACCCTTAGTTTGGTTTCTCTATATTCCACATAGAAGCGACGTCTGGTATCTGTCTGCTATCTGACTGACTTCACTGAGCATTATCACGTCCAGCTCCATCCATGTGGCCGCAAATGCCGGGAGTTTCTCCCTTTTGGTTTCTGAGTGGTATTCTATGGTGTGTATCACCCACATCTTGATCAACTCGTTTGTTTGGAGGCACTTCGGTTGTTTCCATAGCTTGGCTGCTGTAAACAGGGCTACAATGAACATGGGAATGCGAGTTTCCTTACGAACTAGTACTTTTTTAAAGTTTTCAGGTGGTTTACTAGCGGTGAAAATTACAAGTCACGTGGCAGACCATTCCAATCTTTTGAGACACCCCACACCGCTTTCCATAGGGGCTGGGTCAGCCCACATTCTGACCAGCAGAGAAAGAGGCTTCCCTTTCCTCGCATCCTCGCAGCACTTGCTGTTTCTGGTCCTTCGGTGCAGGCCATTCTCATGGGGTGACGTGGTATCTTATTGTGGCCCTCACTGGAATGTCCCTGATAATAATTTCCCTGATAATAATTTCCCTGATAAAAAAATGAACATTTTTTCGTGTGTCTTTTTGTCGTATACATGTTTCTTTGAAGAAGTGCCTGTTTAGCTCTTCTGCTCATTTTTTGATTGCGTTCTTTGTTTTCTTTTTTGATGAGTTTATGAGCACTTTGTAGAGCTTCGATATCTGTCCCTTGTCAGATGTATGGTGTGCGAATGTATTCTCCCACTTGGTAGTTAGGGTTTCTTTTGGTGCATGAGAACTTTTTAGCTTGATGTAGTCCCAGGTGTTCATATTGTCTTGTTCTCCTTGCTGTTGCAGACTAATCCCTAAAGACATCGCTGAAGCTTACATCATGAAGCATTTGCCTATGTTTTCTTCTATGTATTTTATGGTTTTAGGTCTTACATGGAAGTCTTTTATCCATCTTGAATTGGGTTTTTGTGTATGGTGCTCTAGTGTCATTTCTTTTCCATGTGACCTTCCAATGGTCATATTCCATATTCCAGTGAATGTTCTTGGCCCCTTTGTAATAGGTTAATGGTCCATATTAGTGGGTTTTGTCCATCCTCAGGGGATGGTGCTGATTATTGATGGGAGCAGTAGTGGGACTCATTGCTGGCTTCACTTCAGCTATCAGTCTAGTTCAGATCTGGAATCTCTCCTGCTCCACCCGCTCCCGACCCCTCCCCCACCATCATCAGTGAGGAAGTTCTTTCAAGAACCATCATCCCGGGATCCTGACCTATATCCACATGTGCTGCTGACACCCCTCAATAACCTGGACACTCCTCTCCCAGGGAACTTTCCAGGCTGTGCCAATAGACCCTCATATCTTGAGAATTGGTGTGATGGCTGGCCACAATCTTCTTGAAGCGACACACGGAAAAGGGCAAGCCCTGTGGAAAGATGGTCTGAACATTGTGAAGTCGTTGAGGTCTGATCCCCAGCTCTTGGAGGCAGAGCCCCACAAAGACATCTTCCAGTTTAATATAACGGACACGTTCAGAAACTTCATACACCAGACTGGCCACGTCGCTGGAGAAGACATAGCCAGTGCCGTCACAGTAGGTCGGGTACGTTCCCCACAAATATTCATATTTGCTAACAAACCATTTATGGGACCTTTTCCTGACAGGCAAGGCATTTTTATAAAGGAAGCCAGTGAAAAACCCCGAGGGCTGGTTCTTCTTCAGAAGCAGCTCCGTCAGGTAGTAGACGTTGATAAACACATCAGAGTCTGTTTTCATGACGAAAGCGGCCTGAGGACAATAGCGGTGGACCCACTCCATTCCCATCATGGTCTTCAGGGTCAGATTCACATAAACGTCCACAAAGTCCTTCTGGATGATGTCGCGATGCTGCTGGCTCTCCCGGGCCACCGCCAGAGACCTGTCCCTGCTGGACGTGGTTCCCAGGAGGAAGAACGTTTTTATTCGTTTTCCTCCAACCGTCCTGTCTCTTCCCCAGGTGCTCCGGATGGCACTGCGCTCAGACGTCTGATGGGGCGACGACGTCACCAGCAGGACCAGGAAGGGGGGCTGCTGCTCGCAGTCCATGTCTGGGAGCTGCAGGAAGTCCCCGTTTTCTCTCTTGAAAAACTCTGGAAGTACTGCAGAAGGGTCCAGATCTTCCTCACTAAGGTACCACATCAGGGGTCCTAGGGCCACCAGGGAAATACAGATCACTCTCATATAAAGGTAAACCATCTGAAAGAAGCAGAAAAAAAATGATCAGAACTCAACAGCACGAGGGCATGTAACCTTGACCTAAGAGGCATGACAGGGGCGGGGACATGCTTCATGCTGCTGTCTCCAAACCCTGCAATCTCACAGCACACGGGATGGAGTCTGGGGTTCAACAGAGAGGCAGAGAGGACACCAGTGTCTTCACTCCGCAGCGGAAGGTCAAGGCCACAGGCTGGGGCACATCCAGGCTCTCAGGGTCAGCACCTGGCCAGAGGGAGTCAGCTGCCCCATCGAGAGGACGTCCGTCCAGGGCTGCCCTCTCTGACCCCTGAGGGTACATCTGGGGAAGCTGCAGCTCTGGACACCACCTATGATGATGGACACGTGTGGTCCTGGCATTAGCGCCCCCAGCAGCACTGAGAACACATCACAAGGAAGGAGCAGAGCAACAGAGTGGAGGTGCAGGGAGTTCTTCAGGCTCAGACTGTTCGTGTCTATGGCCTAGGCCAAGAGAGTAGATTTGGGTTTGTGGAGGTTTCTAACACCTTGTGGGAGAGTCACACAGTGTCAGGAATAAGTTCTGGCCAAGGCAGCAGGTCTGACAGTCATGACGTTGCAGGGCTGAGCTCCTCGTGGTGCGGAGATGAGCGTGTTTGTGTTTCCGCCTCTCGACAGTAAATCCCCAAAACACCCCTGGTCAATAACCATAAGGGCCCAGTCCCCAAGGTGTGGAGCTGTGTCTCACCTGGGGCCTGCTCAGTGTGGTGGAGAGTCAGGATCTAAATGAGGGCTGGTGACCTGTGGGGCTCGGGAGGGCACATGCCCTCGTGGACAGCATGGGGACAAGATGGAAAGTTGATGAGGACGGGTGGAGGCCTGGGGAGACAGGGGACTGACTGAGGAGCTCACTAGTCAGACTGGACGTGGACGGGAGTTGTTTGAGCAGATCGGCCATCACACGTCACCATGACATTGTTACCTGGCACCTGCCAGGAACGTGGTAGTTTCCTGAAAGGCTTTTCCAGAGTTGAGCATCGTGTGTTTTGAGAAGTGAAATGTGTGCCTTGGTGAGATGAAATATGATGGAGGCTCCAAAGCATGAAGGAGTGGCCTGGCCAGGTCTTAGAGTGGGACCTTCACCATGTGGTCATGGCTCATGTGTCATCTCTGCGTGGGCTCTCAGGAAGCCTAGATGGTGCCCGTGTCTTATTTTTATTTGTCACAACTTTTTAATTCTATCTCGTATAATTTCAATTCATCAATTTAAAAAAATCCCTGCAAGGCCTCCCCGGTGGCACAGTGGGTTGAGCGCCGTGCTATGAAGCTGTCTGCAGCCTCTGCAGCACCGGTTCGATTCCCAGTTGGCCAAGGAGAAACCCACATGGCATGGCAGACTTCTCCTGTCTCATCTGCTGCACCCCTCAGCAGTGCATTTCAGTCCTGCTGCCTGTTCTGCTCCCTACTCTGTGCTGGGTGAATTCTCTCATCCTCCGGTGCCTCTGGACTGTACCCCAGTGCTTGTATAGATAATAAAAAATCTTTTAAAAAAAAATAAGTTATAAAAAAAATCTCTGGAAACCATAGATTCCCATGTTTAATTTTATCATCTATCTATCTATCTATCTATCTATCTATCTATCTATCTATCTATCTAATTCTTTCTCTTTTGTTTCTCCTCAATGACTTCGCCCTGAACCCACATATACTGCAGCAGGAAGGAGCTGAGCGGTTGTTCTGCATTTATTTATTTGGAACAGGATCTGAATTGTTTCTTATCCACACTCTCCAAATGCACCCACTACCCAAACTCTCTAAAATCCACATATTTCTGACAGATCCCCCTGCTATATTCCAAACCCCATCCCCTTCCCCTGAATAGGGCAGAATTAAGAGGCTGTGCTCACAAGGCCCTGCATGCCCAGAAGATCCCAGGATCCAAGGTCTCTTGGGAAGAGGGCAGGAAAGGGAAGCCTCAGAAGCGCCTGGACGCACCTACACTCCTTCAGGCCTGCCTCTCCTCCTTAGACAGCCATGCTCTGGCCCTGCCCGTTCCCCCAGCAGTGTCCTCACTGCTGATCTCCCCACGGAGACCTGAGAGGAAGCCTCCCACCCCCGACACAGGATTGGCCGACACGATGCGTTCATCATGTCTGAGCACTAGTGACCCAACTGACCCCCTCTTCATTCCTGACTCTGACAAGATCCATGCTGAGTATGTGGAAAATTCTTCTTTGCTGGGCATGCCCTAAATCACAGGTGCCACTACCACATTTTAATTGGACTTAAAAACCACCCAAAATGCACTAAATCTCCTAGGGAAAACTTACATTTCTTCACCCCTAAAAATACGAACCGTATCATGTCTTTGAAAGGCAAACACCCCAGGGGGAAGCCCAGTTTATTGTCCCTGATTTGGGCCTAGAATGTTGGGATCACCCTTGGTAAATAAAGCTAATTCAACTTTGTGTAACCAAAACAGGTATGTCTGCAGAGATTGCAGCCCTGTACATATATACAAATAACTTTAAGCTTCCTGGGATTCCGAGTTAAATTCCTGTTATCTCTGTAAAGCTCTCCTGAAAAAAAAAGAAGGGAATGGAGGCATCACACTCCCAGACTTCAAACTTTACTACAAAGCCATAATCATCAAAACTGCATGGTATTGGAACAAGAACAGACACACAGATCAATGGAATTGAATAGAAAATCTAGAAATAAACCCACAGATTTATGGTCAACTAATCTTTGACAAAGGAGCAAAGAATATGCATTGGAGCAAAAGAAAGTTTGTTCAATAAATGGTGCTGGGAAAACTGGGTCGCTACATGCAAAAGAATGAAGCTTGACTACTACCTAACACCATACACAAAAACCAGCTCAAAATGGATTAAAGAACTAGACATAAGACCTGAAACCATAAAATACATAGAAGGAAATATAGGCGAAACACTACGGGATATGCACATCAAAGACATCTTTACAGACACGTCACCCAAAGCAGTGATAGTGAAGAGAAAGATAAACAGCTGGGACTACATCAAATTAAAGAGCTTCTGCACAGCAAAAGAGACAATAACAAAAACAAAGAAACCCCACCAACTGGGAGAACATTTTTGCACACAACACTAATGATAAAGGACTGATCACAAAAATCTACAAAGAGCTGATGAGACTCAGCAACAACAAAGAAAATAATCCAGTCAAAAAATGGGCAGAAGAGCTAAAAAGAAACTTCTCTGAAGAGGAAATGCAAATGGCCAACAGACATATGAAAAAATGTTCAACATCACTTGCAATCAGGGAAATGCAAATCAAAACTACCATGAGATACCATCTCACACCAGTGAGAATGGCACATATTAAAAAAACTAGCAACAACAAATGTTGGCGAGGATGTGGAGAGAAAGGAACTCTCCTGCACTGTTGGTGGGAGTGCAAACTGGTCCAACCACTATGGAGAGCTGTGTGGAGATTTCTGGACCCACTAAACATAGAGCTTCCATATGATCCAGCAATTCCACTCCTAGGTATTTACCCAAAGGACACAGAAACATCAATTCCAAAGAGCACCTGCACCCCTATGTTTATCGCAGCACTGTTTACAATAGCTAAGCTTTGGAAACAGCCCAAATGCCCAAAAATAGATGACTGGATGAAGAAGATGGGGTCCATATACACCATGGAATATTACTCAGCATTCAAAAAAGATAAACATGCCATTTGCAGCAACATGGATGGTGCTGGAAGGGATCATGCTCAGCGAGATAAGCCAGAAAGAAAAAGAAAAATACCGGATGGTCTCACTCATAGCAGGAATCTAGAAAACTTAAATAAGGGACCAGGAAAAAGAATAACTATAAGAAAGAAAATATCAAAATCAACAAATAACTATGAACAAGAGACACTCTATGGGGGGTGGGGGGCGGGGAAAGGAGGGCTTGGGGTAAAAATAAGGGGGTTGTAATTGTATGGGGAATATAAAAATAAAATTTAAATAAAAAAAAAGAAAAGGTCACTTTCTCTAATGACATCTCCATGGGGATCGAAACGTGACTACTGAGAGGAGGTGATGAGAGAGGTGTAAGTGGAGCAGCAGCCTCAGAGGGCCCCCGAGAGCCGGTCCATCAGGACATGGCTGTGAACCGGGGCATGTCCCTGGGAATCTCCCCGGGGCCAGCCAGAGCCCAGGCTTTTCTGACTGTAAATAGGTCCAGGCTGGCACAAAAGCAGCCATCCATGCCCACATGACCTGGTCCTAGCAGGACCACAAGCTTACACGTCAGGCAAGCAATCCACGAGCAATTCCTACAGTGGAAATCGAAACTACAGGGGCAGCAGGACCAGCAGGACCATATTTATCAACATGACCTAAATCCTTGCCAAGTTTTCTGATCCTTTTAAAAAGTTTTACAAACAAGTCTAAAAAAGATCTTCAAAACTCGAGCGGTACAAAAGTTACACAGTGAACAGGATGCTCTCTGCACCCCTAGCCCAGTGCCCCTCCACCAGGACAGCCCTGCAGCTTCCGGGGTGTCTTTACAGAGGTGGCCAGGGAAGGAAATTACTTTCCACTCTATTTCTGTTTCCAACTAAACCATCAACAGTGCCAACAATATGAAAAAAAAATCAAAATTAAGAGTCAATTATCAAAGCAAAGACAAGCATAAGCATAAGAGCAAGACTCTTACCTTTCATGCTCCCCCTTGATAACGGCGTGAGCGAGGGCTCCGCTGACACGGAACGAAAAGCCACAGAAGGAAGTTAACTGTTCGAGAAGCCTGATCTTCGCCCCAACCACATCCGCCCTATAGCAGCAGAAGAGACCCAATCACCTCTACCCTACAGAAGGATGGGCTCCAATAAAAGTCTTATGAGGAAAGTAAAAGCACCACCTTTGACCACACAGACAGACTGGACAAGTAGCGCAAAGAGGGCAGAAGAGATTATGCACGTCAGCTACACGCACAGTCCAAGCAAATTTTAAAAGAATGATATTTAACTCCAGTGGAGTAGTTGGAATGACATAGGGGAAAAAGTCACCATTGCACACACTTTTCCAAGCATTACTGAGATTCACATGGTTTTAAATAAGCAAAGGTGATAAGATTTAACCACACACCGTGCTGTAGTTAGAACGGGACAAGCGGTAGAAGCGCAGCAGCGAGACCTCACCTGTGGTAAAGGTTAACAGAAGCGTGTGAGGTGCAGCAGTCACACAAGGACAGGAAGCACATTATCTGGATTGTAGACACTGAAGCCGGAGGAAACAGGAGTGGCATCAGGCCTGGAGAGCAGAGAGTGAGCAACAGGACTGTCCTGCTGCTTGCCGCCTGTAGCATGAGTGACCTTTGACACTAGGTACATGTATACTTTTGGGTAAATAAATTTTATTGTTCGTCCACTGGGAAAATGCATGTGAATTTGAAAGTCAAATTGATCCTAGTCTTGCACAGTATCAACCCTCCAGTTTCAGAGCTGGGAGAACATGAGAGTCAACGATCTGAAGAAATGGGTCAGGTTAGATGAGCAACAGAAGAACCCCCCGAATTTCAGGGGCTGCACACAGCAAAGGCTCACGTCTCGCTCTCAAAGGGATGATGGGCGCGTGGATGACACTGTCCGCTGGCACCTGGGACAAGCTGGCTTTCTAGTCCATGAAGCCTGGTAGCTGTGGTGCTGATCTGGGTGTTGCTGGGACATTGACCCAGCAGTTGCTGGAGAGCTGAGAGTGGGTGGCAGGACTGTCCTGCTGCTTTCCGCCTGTAACATGGGTGACCTTTGACACTAGATACATGTATGCTTTGGGTAAATAATTAAATTTTATTGTTGCTCCACTGGGAAAATGTGACAGGGCAGACGCTGCCAAGATCTGAGAATCTCTGCAGGTTGTAGAAGAGTTAATCTTAGGTTTCAAGTTATGAGGTCAAGACTGAGTGCCAGCAGAGTTCAAACATTACTCAGAAGACAAGTCTGTCCAAGCATGAAGTATTGACACACCCAGATATGACTGAAATGGAGCAACTGAATGATTGAATAGTGTTGAAGAGTCTCTACATTCTAGAGGCCTATTAAAAACACAATAGCATTGCGAGGGATTGTCTCTGCAATGCTACTTTTCAAACCCCAGACTGAGCTCAGTGAAGTCTAACTTGCAATCAACCCAACATCCCACCATAATATACCTGGAACAGACCCTGTGTCTTCTGTCATTACAGTGGCTTATTTGCCTTCCACAAATAAGCAATAAGGGCTTAGTACCTGTCACGTCAAAGTTTAAGAATAATGAACACTTCCTTTATTACCAGTACCTTGCATAATGAAGTTGACAAAATTATAATAACCATTATATGGCTAGTGTGAAAATTAGTAAACAAATTGTTATTTAAATGAGGTCAGGAGGCTAGAAGAAAATTAAGCACACAAAATCAGCAAACAATAAGAGCCAACAAGCTTTGGAAAAAAAAAAAAAAAACTGAGTGCCAGGATGAAGCCTGAAAAGTTACAGTGAGGGCTGTTAGTTTTACCTAATGAGGCAAAGTTCTCTGTGGAATTGGAGCTGGAGGACTACTGTTGCCAATAACAAATCCTGCAGAGATGCTTCCAACTTCAGTAAGATTCATTCAGAGGGGATTTTTTTGTTACTTAAAATGATAGTAGAAAATGTGGCTGACCTCCTTGGTATCCTTCATGGAGTCTAAAGCTTAGTTTCATTGTGTTTTGTCTGGTTTTATGTTGTTGTTTTTTTTTTGCTTTGCTCTTTTTTATATTCTACACATATATGAAAACATCTAATAATTGACCCTATGTCTTCTTTAGAGACGTGCCTGTTCAGGTCTTTCGCCCACTTTTGAATGGGTTGTTTTTTGCTATTGTTAACTTGTTTGCGTTCTCTGTCTACTTTGGAAATTAACCCCTTATCAGACATATGATGTGCAAATATCCCTTCCAAGTCTGTGTGTTGCTTTTTTATTTTTTGTGATGGTTTTCTTTGCTGTACAAAGCTTTATAGTTTGCTACAGTCCCATTTGTCTATTTTTGCTCTTGTTTTACTTGCCACTGGAGTTGAGGTCCCAATTACCTCGCTGAGATTAATGTCCAGGAATATTTCCCCATGTTTTCTTCCATGAATTTATGATCTCAGGTCTTATTTCCAACTCTTGAATCCATTTTGAATTAAATTTTGTTTATGGTGTTAACTAATGATCTGGTTTCTCTTTTTGCCTAGCTGTCCAGGGTTCCCTGCTCCATTTGTTGAAGGGGTTTCCTCTCTCCATGTGTGCTCATGGCCTCTTTGTCAAAGATTGTCAATATCTGTGTGGACTTATTTCTGAGTCTTCAACTCCATTCCATTTATCTGTTAGTCTGTTTTTGTTGCAATAACATACTGTTTTGGTTGCTGTTGCTTTGTAGTATTGTTTGAAGTAGGAGGCATCATCACTCCATCTTTCTTTTTTCCTCTGAAGACTGTTCTGACTATTCATGGGGTTTTGTTTGTTGTAGTGTTGTTTATCCATCCCTCTCTCCCCCACCTCATCCCTCCCAGACTCGCTCCGCTCTGACTCCGTCCTCCCCACATTCTGTCTGGACTCTTCAGTCCAAACAGGTTTCTATCTTCAGTCCCAGGTTTCTATCTCCTCTTCAGGTGGCCCCCGACTCTAACTAGTGTCCTGCATCCCCAGATTGGACCAGGAGCCACCACAACCACTTGCTCTCACAGGTAGAGAGGAGGGTCCCCAAGTTAATAAAAGGTAGCCAACCCCCACCCCAACTGTGATTGGAGGTTACTTCTCCTCAGGAGGGTTTGTGGTGATTTACCTTGGTGATTTTCAGATGCTGAACCGTACTTGTTTCTTGTGAAAATTTTTCTATTTTGTTTACTTTTTTCAAAGACTTTGGTTTCGTTAATCTTTGGACTTTTTATTTTCTATATCATTTATTTCTTCTTTGATTTTTATTATTTCTGTTCTGCTGGTTTTTGGATTTGTTTGTTCTTTTATCAAATTCCATGACCTGAAAGACAAGGTTCTTTTTGAGTGCTCTCTTCTTCCCTGATGATGGCCTATACAGCAATACATGTCCCTCTTGGCACGATTCCACTGAGCCGCCTGATTTCTGGGAGGCTGTGTCCTCCATATCATTTGCCTCAGGTATATTATTTATATCTTCTTTGATTTCCTCATTAACCCATAGGTTCTCATTAGTCTGATATTCAGTCCACACACAAAGTATTTTCCTGCTTTCCTGTGGTTGTTGGTTCCGAGTTTGAGGCCATTACCGTGAGAGAAGATGCTAAGTACGATTTAAATGCTATGAATTTCTTGATATTTGTTTTGTGACCCAGTATATTTTCTATTATGGAGAATATCCAATGAGCACCTGAGGAAAGTGTGTACTCTACATTTGTTGGGGACAATGCCCTGTGAATGACTATTAGGAACACACAGTCTAGTTCCTTATTTAAAGTTGTGTCCTGTTGTTTTCTATCTAGTTGATCTGTCCTAGAAAGTGGGCTCTTGAAGTTCTCCCCAACAAACAAGTTTTTTCCAATGTCTGTTTTCAGAGCTGATAGTACTTGCTAGTGTGTTTTGGTGCTTCTCCATTGGTGAGTATACAATGATGAGCATCAAGTCTTCCAAGGTAATGTTCCCTTAATTAATATATAGTGCCCCTCCCTACCCCTTGTTAGCTTTTTTCACTGGAAATCTGCTTTTTGTGCTGTGTGCTGCCCTAGCCTCCTTTGGGATCTATTTGCTTGTAGGATTATTTCCCAGCCATTTACTTGGACGCGTCTTTGATCTTTGGAATATAGATGTGCCTCCTGGAGATAATGGGAGATAGGATCTGTTTCCTGGTCCAACCACACTCTGTATCTTTTAAATGGTTAGTTTAGTCCATTGACAATTACAGTGATTATTGACATATGAATGCCTGTTGCTGTAGGAAAAATCAAGCACTAATGCAGTAGTGCAGGTCCTCAGGGGATGGTGCTGATTATTGATGGGGCACTAAGTGGGAATAATTCATGGTTTAAACTCAGTCCACAGTCTAGTCTAGCTCAGATCAGGAACCCCACATCACCCTCCTCTGCACCCTCTTCCAAGTCACCCTGCTCCCACCATCATGACTGGTGTCCTTTCAACAACCATCATTCTGGGTGCCTGACATGTGTCAGATGTGCTGCTGGGAACCCTCATTGACCTGGACACTCCTCTCCCAGGGAACTCTCTAGACCATGCCAAAAGAGTCTAATGTCTTGAGGCTGGACACCATGGCTGGAGACAATCTTCCTGTAGAGACACTCAGAGAAGGGCTCTCCACCTCGGATGAAGGACTGCTCCGTGTCTAGTTGCTCGGGGCTGATTTTAAGCTCTTGGAGGCAGAGCCCCACAAAGACATCTTCCAGCTTAATGAACGGGACGCTACCAAAAACACTATACACCTGAGTGGCCACGTCACTGGAGAAGACATAGCCAGTGCCGTCACAGTAGGGCGGGAACGTGTCCTGTGGATACTCCTCTTTGCTGACAAACCATTTATGGGGATTTGTCCTGACAGGTGAGGCATTTCTATAAAGGAGGCCAGCGAAAAAACCAGAAGTTCGGTTCTCCTGCAGAAGCAGCTCCGTCAGGTAGTAGACGTTGATAAACACGTCAGAGTCTGTTTTCATTACGAAAGCGGCCTGAGGACAATAGCGGTGGACCCACTCCATTCCCATCATGGTTTTCAGGGTCAAATTGTCATAAACGTCCACAAAGTCCTTCTGGATGATGTCGCGATGCTGCTGGCTCTCCTGAGCCACCGCCAGAGACACGTTCCAACTAGACGTGGTTCCCAGGAGGAAGAACGATTTTATCCATTTTCCTCCCACTGTCCTGTCTCCTCCCCAGGTGCTGCGGATGGCACTGCGCTCAGACGTCTGATGGGGAGACGACGTCACCAGCAGGACCAGGAAGGGGGGCTGCTGCTTGCAGTCCATGTCTGGGAGCTGCAGGAAACTCCTGTTTTCTCTAGTGGAAACAAATGGACTTATTTCTATAGGAGTCACATGGTGCGTGCTAAGGTACCAGCACAGGGCTCCCAGGACCACCAGGTAAACACACATCAATCTCATCTTCAGGGAAACCATCTGAAAGGGACAAAATAAATGATCATAACTCAGTGGCATGGAGGCATGTAACCTTGGCCTAAGAGGCGTGACGGGGGCAGGGACATGCTTCATGCTGCTGTCTCCAAACCCTGCAATCTCACAGCACACAGGATGGAGTCTGGGGTTCAACAGAGAGGCAGAGAGGACGCCAGTGTCTTCACTCCGCAGTGGAAGGTCAAGGCCACAGGCTGGGGCACATCCAGGCTCTCAGGGTCAGCACCTGGCCAGAGGGAGTCAGCTGCCCCATCGAGAGGACGTCCGTCCAGGGCTGCCCTCTCTGACCCCTGAGGGTACATCTGGGGAAGCTGCAGCTCTGGACACCACCTATGATGATGGACACGTGTGGCCCTGGCATTAGCGCCCCCAGCAGCACTGAGAACACATCACAAGGAAGGAGCAGAGCAACAGAGTGGAGGTGCAGGGAGTTCTTCAGGCTCAGACTGTTCGTGTCTATGGCCTAGGCCAAGAGAGTAGATTTGGGTTTGTGGAGGTTTCTAACACCTTGTGGGAGAGTCACACAGTGTCAGGAATAAGTTCTGGCCAAGGCAGCAGGTCTGACAGTCATGACGTTGCAGGGCTGAGCTCCTCGTGGTGCGGAGATGAGCGTGTTTGTGTTTCTGCCTCTCGACAGTAAATCCCCAAAACACCCCTGGTCAATAACCATAAGGGCCCAGTCCCCAAGGTGTGGAGCTGTGTCTCACCTGGGGCCTGCTCAGTGTGGTGGAGAGTCAGGATCTAAATGAGGGCTGGTGACCTGTGGGGCTCGGGAGGGCACATGCCCTCGTGGACAGCATGGGGACAAGATGGAAAGTTGATGAGGACGGGTGGAGGCCTGGGGAGACAGGGGACTGACTGAGGAGCTCACAAGTCAGACTGGACGTGGACGGGAGTTGTTTGAGCAGATCGGCCATCACACATCACCATGACATTGTTACCTGGCACCTGCAGAGGTGCTGGTCTGTGCCCTCCCTGTGCTTCTGCGGGTCTCTGTCCTATGTGCCACATCAGCCCAACCGGGCACTGCTGCCACACTCCTCCCCTTCTCTGGGCAGCATGGCCGAGGCCTCGTGGCTGAGGGGATCAGGCCACTTATTTTGAGGCCTTGAGTGACTAGCAACGTGCAAAAGTGCCCAGGACAGCTGCAGCCCCAACTCCTGCAAACCAGGAGAGGCTGCCCGGTAGAGGGATGAAGAAAAGGCCTCACGCCCGTGACACTGACTCTTTAGGTATGTCCAGGGCCGTGTGGCTGCCCCAGAGATGGCTCCACCTCCTTGGAGCCTGAGTCCACCAGGGCCAGCGCAACAGACCGTGGGTGTCTCACCCCCACACACGGCCGTCACCCTCCATTCCCTGCCGCGAGGAGACTGAGGGTCCTCCTGGGTCCATCCCTGGCAGAAGTTGCTAAGAAATTAATGGACAAATACGATGAGCTCATCATGTCTGAGCACAAGCAACCCGAGTGACCCGTCTTCATTCCTGACCCTGACGAGACCCACGCTGAGTATGTGGAGAATTCTTCTTCACTGGGCACCCCCTTAATCACAGGTGCCACCACCACATTTTGATTAGACTTAAAAAGCACCCAAAATGCACTAAAACTCCTAGGGAAAAAACTTAAATATCCTCAAGCTTAAAAATATAAATCTTACCCTATTTTTGAAACATAAACACTCCATGAGGAATTTTATTTCTTTTATTTTGAAATATGAACACTCCAGTAGGACGTCTTCCTGGGGTGTTTACATTTTTTTCTACCTGATCATTGGCTGGAATGTTGGAATGATCTTGGTAAATAAAGCTAATTCAACTTTGGTGTAATTAAAATGGTATGTCCACAGAGTTTTCAGCACTTGATAGGTATATGCAAAGAACTGTAAGCTTCCTGTTTCCGAGTTAAATACGTTCCTGTTATCTCTGTTGTGGGATTTGTCAGCAAGAAAAAAAAAGCCTAAGAAAAGGTGACTTTGTCTAATGACATCTCCACGGGGATGGAAACGTGACTTACTGGGAGGAGATGGTGAGACAGGTGTAAGTGGAGCAGGTGGAGGGGAATGTTCAGTGGTGCTGAGGGCCCCGTGCAGCCCCCAGAGGGCCCCCGAGAGCCGGCCCATCAGGACGTGGCTGTGGACCGGGGCATGTCCCTGGGAATCTCCCTGGGGCCAGCCAGAGCCCAGGCTTTTCTGACTGTAAATAGGTCCAGACCGGCACAAAAGCAGCCATCCATGCCCACATGACCTGGTCCTAGCAGGACCACAAACTCACACGTCAGGCAAGCAATTCACGAGCAATTCCTACAGTGGAAATCCAAACGACAGGGGCAGCAGGACCAGCCGATAAATATGACCTAAGTCCTTGGGGAAAAAGACCTCTTCCCTCCCCGCCTGTACAGGGCACCGTGGGACCCAGAGCAGAGAGAGTGAGGCCCCTGCACAGCACAGCCACCTGCACAGCCCTCACAGCCCCAGGCCAGAGCCTAGTGATTCAGAATCTCAGCGCAGACCCAGCCCTGGCCTATCACAGCCCGGGTGACCGTCATGTTCATCCCCAGCCACGTCACGCATGCAGGGCATGCAGATTTGTCTGTTCTCCACATTCTTTAATTTTTGCGTGTCTGTGTGTGCACTAGAGGGTCCTCATCCGCCACTTATTCACAATCCCGGGAAGCAGCACAGATTAACAGAGCAGATCTGTACACTGAAAGTGTCCCAGGCCGAAGGACAAAGCTGAGACCTGGGATACCAGGACGCCTCCCACGAAAGCAGACATGTGACGAGTCCCTCCCTATGTCAGGCCACTCCAGGGCGTCCAATGTCAGGCAGGTGTGGCGGTGACGCCTCCACCCAGCCCCTCCTGTGTGCACTGCCCCGCATGGAGCCGTCTCTGGGGTTGCTACTTCATGTGTGTGCAAATGGCGTCAGGTGGGGTCTCCACATGGCAGTGGGGACAGTAAGACTCTCGGTCAGCGGGAAGACTGTTCAAACCACGGCACTTGGACCTTTCGTGTCAAAATTTGGTTAAATAAACTCTGTGTCCTTAAGGTTTCCAAATCCTCATCACCTTCTAAAAGCGCCCAGAAAACAAGCGTCCATGACATGAAGCAGCCGAGCCCTTGTCCTGGGGCTCCCACAACAGCAGCTTCTCAGAGAGCCCGTGACCACGTGACTGTTTTGCTCTAGGAACATTGCCCATTGGGCTCAATGTTTACATCTGTGCGGTGTGTTGGTCAAATGCATGAGCTACTTTAAATTTCCATGTCTGCCGAGTTTCTGACATCTTTTTTTAAGTTTTATAAACCAATGTCTAAAAAAGATCTTCACATGGGCCTCCCCAGTGGCGCAGCAGTTGAGCGCTGGGTTACGAAGCTGCCTGCAGCCTCTGCAGCACCGGTTCGATCCCCGGCTGCTCCCCGGCCACCAGAGGAGGGTCCCGCATGGCGCGCAGACCTCTCCTGCCGCCCGCTGCTCCCCTCAGCAGTGTGCTTCGGTCCTTCTGCCTGCTCTGCTCCCCGCTCTGGCTCTGGTGAATTCTCTCACCCTCCCGCGCTTCTGACTGTGCCCAGTGCTTGTATAAATAAATAAAAATAAATCTTTAAAAAAAAAATGAAAAAATAAAATAAAAAAAGATCTTCACGGATCAAACAGTACAAGGTCACACAGTGAACAGGATGCTCTTGGCACCCCTAGCGCAGCGCCCCTCCACCAGGCCAGCCCTGCAGTTCCCAGGGTGTCTTTCCAGAGTGGCCCAGGAAGGGAACTATTTTCCCCTCTATTTCTGTTTCCAACCAAACCACCAAGAGTGTCAACAATACAAGCATGCCATCAAAATTAGGGCAAATTATCAAAGCAAAGAAGACAAAGCACAAGCAAGACTTTTACCTTTCACACTCCCCCTCGCTAACCACAGGAGAGAGGGCTCCGCGGACACAGGAGGCTAAATCCGCAGAAGGAAGAAACTGTTTGAGAAGCCTGATCCGGGTCCCAGTGCGCTGCAGACCTGGGAAGGGACCCAACCACTTCTGCCCTGGAGGTAGAGAACTGAGAAAAGGTTCTAACAAAAGTAACGTCAGAAAAATTAACCACTTCCTTTGCTCATACAAGAAATAGAATGACAGGGAGTGCTCCGGGGGAATAGTGGGAAGTTTCCTGGGGGGGAAGGTAACCATAACACACATTTCTCTATCATTAGTGATATTTACATGATCTTAAACAAGCAACAGTGATAAGATTTAACCACAAAATGTGCTGTAGTGAGAACAGGACAATGGTGCTGGTGGCTAAATGTCGCCTGCGGTAAAGGCTAGTAGAAAACAGTAAGTGTGTGAGGTGTCACAATAAGACAGAGCACAAGTAGCACATCATCTAGATCTCAGACACTAAAGCCAGAAGGAATAGTAGAGGGATCAGGTCTGGAGAGGCGAGAGTGAGTGGCAGGGTTGTCCTGCTGCTTGAAGCCTGTAGCACAGGTGAACTCAGACACGTATCCTTTGCCACTGGGAAAATGCAAGTGAATTTAAAAGCCAAAGCGATCCTAGTCTTGCACAGGATCAACCCTCCCATTCCAGAGCTGGGAGAACAATAGAGTCAATGATCTGAAAAAAGGGACAGGGTTAGATGAGCAACCGAAGAACCCCCCGAATTTCAGGGGCTGCACACAGCAAAGTCTCACGTCTCGCTCTCAAAGGGATGAAGGGACAACACTGTCCGCTGGCACCCGGGACAAGCTGGCTTTCTAGTCCGTGAAGCCTGGTAGCTGTGATGCTGATCTCGGTGTGGCTGGGACATGGACCAACGGCTGGAGGCATGTGACGGGGCAGACGTGGCCAAGAGCTGAGAATTTGTGCAGGTTGTAGGAGAGTTAGTTTTAGGTTTCAAGTTGACGTCAACTTTGAGTGCTGGAATGAAGCCTGAAAGAATTACAGTGAGGGCTGTTAGTTTTACATAGTGAGGCGAAGTTCTCTGTGGAATAAGAGCTGGAGGACT